CAGTTCCGTTTCTCATTCATTCCTTTTTTTTTTTTCTATCTCGTTTTGGGCTTTTAATTGATACCCACCGGTTTATTAGGAGCAGGACGTCCGGAAAAGAGCTGGTGATTTCTATTTTTACTTTTACTTTCATGTCATGACATAGAGGTCTGGTGCACTCGTTAGATTTTTTCCCCCCCTTCTCCGATTCTCCTTTTTTTTTTTTATCTTGGGTTCTCTATTTCTGTCTTCTCCTATTTGATTTTCGATCCTAATTCCAGATCAATGATTCTCTGTCTACTTTTGTCACTGATCTATTCTTGGTCTTGTTTTTCTTTTCTGTTTTCCATCTCGTGGTCTGTCAAGAATGTCTGTGATACCCTGGTTGTTAGGAGAGGCAGATTACAGCCCCTATCTAATAATGTACAAACCAACATACGTGCTCCTCCTTGGTACTAAATACTTACTTAGTATTAGCTACTACTACTAAATATTAGCTAGGTAGCTACTAAACTGTCCCGCTCATATGATGCCTCGTATTCTTCTCATCCTTACTCGAAATTCTGAGACTACAAAACCAGACTCCACAGGGCAGTGCCTGCAAGGGATCCCCGTCAAGGGATGGAGAGAAGTGAAACAATGTCAAACACATGGCATTCCAGAGAACGTCACAGTACAGAGTAACTACAGAGTGACCACAGAGTAATTCATAATAGCTACCTAGGTGACTTGAACCTATAGCATGATAGAATGGTGTGACCACGCCATTCATTCGTGTTCGGGTTATCCACATTCCAGGCTGGAATGTAGAGTACCTACAGAGTAAGACTTGATGGTAATTATGAGAAAGAAAATAGTAACTAGAAATAAGATAGGAATTATGAAAAATAAGGTGGTCATGATTTTCAGCCTAGTCACTAATTTCAAATCTAATCTCAATTAATAACGGATATCGGACTTGTTTCATGTTGAGTGATCTGATATTGATCTAGAACGTCTAATTGAGACATGGGCTACGATGCTTTCGAGCTTAGCTTCAATCATAATATATTAAGATCCTAAGCTTTAATCTAGTCTACTAGGCATAGCAATCTTTTGAAGAACCCTCTCCTTGGCTGACATCTCCCCGAATTGCGAACCAGGAGCCGGAGTCGAGAGTAGACAGCATGCTGATTGTACACTGCATCCCATCTGAACGTCCATGAGGAGACCTATATAGTATAAAGTATGAGTATACTCAGTAGCTAACAGACAAAAGACATACCCTAGCCTTATTGTCGATGCAGAGGAATTCAAAGCTGTGGCTATCAGAGCAACAGCCGTAGACGACGGCGTCTCTCTTTTTCTGCTTGTGGTGTTTATGAACCATTGCTGTTCGTCAGTATTCTTATATCAGGTAGACACCTATAGACATACCCATATAAGCAAGGCAGTTCGAGATCGACCCTTTAGTGGCTGCTCGGACGAGAACAAGATGCGTGTCCAGATAAGACTCGTCAGAGGCCACCGAGTAATCGGCCGTGGCGTGTAGCTTCACCAGCTTGTTCTGGAAGATCACCTCTTCGGAGAGATGCTGATCTAGAACTAGCTTCATCTTCTCCCCCTGAGCGGTAGAAGCAGCCTCCTGTTCGGATCCCAGACAGTCTATTATGATCGCGTCGAGTCGAAGCCGGCAGCTTGCTTTGCTGGGCTCGGGTTGGCCCAGGACGACGGGAATATTCTGTAATTTCTCGTCTTGTCAGTTAGTGAACGCTTGCAAATAGCATCGACAGTGCAGTTCTCTTACAGAGCTGGGCTGGAAGATTCAAACAGTCCTGTTTGGACAGTCTCCATGGTTTTCTCCTCGTCACCCGTTTCAGTTGGAAGATGCTCTCCACGTCGGATACTGACAGCTGGCTGGTGGATATCGTGGCATCAAGCCAGTCATATTCTGTTGACTGACGTTCAGTTGAGCTGGTTGTTAGACTGTAGCTAGAGTCTGATGGCATTTTGGTATACAGTAGATAGAGATAGTAGTGCTGTAGACTAGACAAAGTGATGTGGGAAATGACAAGAGAGTGAACAGTCGTAGCTGCCTAGACTAAATTTACCCATGGTTGTCTATTTTATTATTATTCTTGGTCCATGGAACTTTCACTTTTCTTTTCCACACAGTCACTAGAAGAAAGAATCTTTGATTCACTAAATATGGCTCTGATCTAGCGTACTCCCTCCTTCCTATATATCTCTCTGTCTTCAATGTGGTTCCAGAATGAGATTCTCTCGCATCAACTGCATCCATCATTAGAGCATCTTCTCCTACGTTGCCAGATAGTTTCAAGTTCATCCCATCCACTACCGTATCCCTGACCTTTCTTTCTCCGAATAGTGAATATGCCCCCAGTACTCTTACAACATAGACGTCTTAGATATCAATCGGCAGATAGGATATCAACAACTGCCGATGCCAACGCCACCACCTGTTATATTGACTGCTCAGGCGGTTATCCTTCAGAATATGAATAGATTCAAGCAAATCAGGCCAATATAAAGCTTACTTACAGTCAAATGGCAGTCTTTTAATCAACGCCTTGGCATAGGATACGTCTTTGAATATAAAAATGGCCCATGTAGCATGTCATCTAGATATTACGCTTCAAAGGCATCTCTGATTCATCGTATATCTCTCCACGTTCGACAGGAGATACCTGACTACTAAGACGTTGCAGGATGATATCATTCTAGTAGTTCATTTGTAGGTTCCAATAGGAAACAAGATCGGGAATAGAATGCCATTGGAATGGGAATGGGGTGATACTGGGCGGAAGGTGATGCATCATCTGTCTAAAAACAAGAGTATATTCTTTCTTATATTATTACTACTGAAAATAGAAATAGTACTGGCTATTCCTTTAATGCCACCAGCTGATCTATGATGCCGGGTAGTAGCACTCGACTTGTCGACTCCGTAGAGACTGTACAGCAGGGAAGATATTTCCACTTTATACTATTATGGTAGAATTTGCTATAACCAATGAAGCTAACGCCAATGTCCAGTTGCAAGATCAGATCCAACGCGCCAGGCAGAGATCCATTCGAGAGCAAGAACGCGGGCGAGTGGTTTAGTGGATACGGTCCAGCTTGGCCCGGTTCATGGCAATCTGGTCGTCGACAAAATCGCTCTTGAAAAAAAGAAAAGAGTTGATCAGCATCGGGTATTTATATGAAAAGGAACAAAAAGTAAACTCACCTTCCCCGTGATACGTCCCAAGTGGCGGTTCTGCTCGTCCAGCTCGCGAGCAGTCGCCCGAGCGAGCCCATTCAGTCGACCCGCCGCGCCGTGCAGCAGGTCTAGGTTCTGGTCGATCTCGTCCTCCATTGCCTCGTCTTCGCTGTCGGCCTCGAACTGATACTTGGCCCGCTCCGTCAGGCTGTTCTTGGTCCGTGGAGGGGCTTTGGCCGCCTCTCGGTCCAGATCGCGGAAAGTTCGCTCCATGCGCTGGTTGGTCCGAAAGGCCTCCGTCCGGGTGCCGTCCCGCAACTCCCGCTCCTCGCGATGGGTGTTGAGCGTGCGCTCGTCGCGGTCTCTGCGCCGCTGGGCGCTCGTGAACGGGTTCGACACGTGCACCGCGAACATGCTCTTGTTGAGCGTCTTCAGCTCCCGGGCCTTCTCCTGTGCAATCCGGTTCTCCAGCGCCGCCACGTCCAGGCTCCTCTCCGCGTCGTGGATCCGCTCACCCTGCGCCCCTAGACGGGCTAGGGTCTCCCGGCTGAGCTCCTCGGCCTGTGCCGCCGCCCGCAGCGCATTGCGGGTCGACGCAACATCACCCTGCTTGATGAACCGCATCTCCTGCTTGATCGCCGCCACCTCTTCTTCCTCTTCCTCCTCCGCTGTCAGCTGCCTCTCCTGGTATACGGCGGTGCTGTATTCGTTGCTGCCACCGCTATACGCATTCGCCCCCTCCGTGTACGGCGGCGGAGCGGCACCGCCCGCGTTCGGCTGTCGTTGTTGGTGTCGGTCGCGAGCTCCACCGAACAAGGCGTCTCGGTTGGCATCGCCCGCAGCGGGGTCGTTGGGGTCATTGTTGCCCAGTCCGCCATAGCCACCAGGGCCGTAGCGAGACGCCGGAGCAGGAGCCGTGTTATTATATCCGAACCGATCACTCCCGTATCCAACCTGATTGCCATATGTGTTGGGCCCGTAGCCCCCGCCCTTCTTCTCTGCCGGGTATCCTCCGTTGTTGCCTCCTGCCGCGGGCGCGCCTCCAGGGCCAGGCTGGTTGTATCCGGGGGGAGCAGGAGCAACGCCAGCATTGACCTTGGCTTTTGTATAGGGATCAACAGGCGCCGCCGACTGAGCGTACGGGTTGGCAGCCGCCGCCGGGCTTTTGTCCTTGGACCGCGATCCAAACAGCGCCCGCCTGCTGGAATCGTCGTCTCCGTCGCCCGACTTCTTGAAGAGGCCCATTATGAGATGTATCGGAAGACTCTGAGATTTCTTAGAAGAATTAAAACAAGAAGAAGAAGAACAAGAACAAGAACAATGTAGAATCAGGAGACAGAGACGAGAAGAGTGGGACGGTCAGGGGAGCTCCAGGCGGAGATATTCTCACGTCTGTCTCAACTATTCTTGGGATGGCGGAGTCAAAAGGCGGCGTAATACGCGTAATACGCATACCGCCCAGACGCCCGCAAACGGCGGTGCACAGGGCGGCAAAATGACGAGCGATGACAGTACCTTTACCTGGCCCAGGGGCTGTGTCGGGCTAAGCCACATCAGGCCAAGACTCGCTGTCACGTGCGCCCCGCCTTCCCGCTAAACGGACGACATGATCCAACGCGACGCTCTTGCTCTGGCGAGACGAGACGTCTGCTGTCTGGCGACGGCAACAGGGTCGCTTCCTGACTTGCAATGGCGCCGATTTCAGGTTCCGATGCGGAGTATTTCCGAGACAAGGCGCGCAGGGATCTTTTGGCGTTGCTTGAAGGCGTGAGTAAGGCTCCTGCGGTGTCTGTTGTCTGTTGTGACCTGGGAATGAGTCGTGAGCTGAACAACCGGTGCAGGTGCGCGGTAAGAAGAATCTGGTCATCAGTCAGGATCTGGCCGGTCCGATCGGGCTGTTTGTCAAGTTTTCCGTGCTGCAGGAGTATGGTGTAGACCGGGTCTTTCTGCTCGAAAATGCCAATGTCGACTCGACCCAGCGCAATATCATCTTCCTGGTGCACGGCGAGAAGCCGCACATGGTGCGGAGAGTGGCAGGTATGTCATATGGAGCTCATTTTTCTCCCTGCTGTCGCTCAACATGTAATACACGCAATGTTATTCTGCCGTGTCGGACGGGACACAACACTCCGAAACCTCAGTAGATTACGCAGAATCTTTCCTTCTCTACGTAATCAGTTAAGCTCCCTAGATGAAAAAAAACAAAAACCTACCCAAGGTATCTCATGATATCTATGGGAGCTCATACTCAAGGCTTTCTCTCTTGAATCCGTCTGATTGAATGCCATCAGAATGAGCTGACACTGTTGTCCTATATAGAACAAATCAAACGTCTACAGCACAATGGCAACGTTGAACATGAATTCTCCGTCCTGTGGGTTCCAAGGAGGACCCTCGTAAGTGATAAGATTCTCGAGGAAGAAGGCATCATTGGCGACGTCAACATCGCTGAACTCCCTTTGTATTTCATGCCCCTGGAGGACGATGTGTTGTCATTAGAGCTGGAAGATTCCTTCAGTGATCTGTATTTGGTAAGAACTCTTCATTGATTTGCGAAACCTCCGTCTAATCCTCATCAGCACAAAGATCCTGGCTGCATTTTCCTCGCCGCCAAGGCCCTCATGGATATCCAACAGAGATACGGCTATTTCCCTCGAATTATAGGCAAAGGCGACAATGCACGGCGCTTGGCAGATCTCCTTTTACGCATGAGGAAGGAACTAGATGCCGAAGAGCGCTCTGGCCTGACTGATCTGCCGTTTCGAGGCCTGCTCCCTAGTGCGGACACCGAGAGCTTGATCATCATCGACCGCGAGGTTGACTTTGGCTCTGTGCTCCTCACGCAACTTACGTACGAAGGACTGATTGATGAAATGGTAGGCATTAGGCACAACCAGGCAGACATCGATACCTCTATTGTTGGGGCAGCGGCTGCGCCGCAAAATCAAGGGTCATCCTCTAAAGCCCCTCCTCAGCCGACTCCCAAGCAAGGATTAAAGCGGAAGATCCAACTGGACTCGTCAGACCAACTCTTCAATCAACTGCGGGATGCAAATTTTGCTATCGTCGGCGATATCCTCAACAAGGTGGCACGTCGTCTGGAAAGCGACTACGAAAGCCGCCATACAGCGAAAACGACGACGGAGCTGCGAGAATTTGTGAATAAATTGCCAGCCTTCCAGCTTGAACACCAGAGTCTCCGCATTCACACAAATCTTGCAGAAGAAATCATGCGACAGACCCGCTCTGATATCTTCCGAAAACTTCTCGAGGTGCAACAGAATAACGCTGCGGGTGCGGATCCAACCTACCAGCATGATGCAATTGAAGAGCTCATTGCTCGCGACATTCCCTTGAAGAACATCCTTCGTCTTCTCTGCCTGGAGTCATGCATGAGCGGGGGCCTTCGTCCGCGCGACCTCGAGCATTTCAAGAAACAGGTGATCCAAGCCTACGGACACCAACACATTCTCACCTTCAACGCATTGGAGAAGATGGAACTCCTCCAGCCCCGCTCCTCTGCCACGGCCATGTTGCTTTCTACCGGCGGTGCCCAGACGGGGACTAAGACCAACTACAGCTTCCTCCGCAAGAACCTCCAGCTTGTCATCGAGGAAGTCAGCGAGAAGGACCCGGAAGACATCGCGTACGTCTACAGCGGCTTTGCGCCGCTCAGCGTCCGTCTCATCCAGTGCGTTCTGCAGAAACCATACATTCTCTCCCTGCTCCGAGGCGGCGGTAGCGCCACGGCAACCCAAGCGTCTTCCACCCAAGCCAGCACCGCGTCGCCCGGGTGGCTCGGCTTCGAGGATGTGGTGAAGAGCGCCCGCGGTGCGACCTTCAGCCTTGTACAGAAGGGCGACGACAAGGCCGTCCGCGCCCGGCAAACCATCAGCGGTAACCACACAGCCAAGACCGTCTACGTCTTCTTCCTGGGCGGCATCACCTTTACGGAGATTGCGGCTATGCGCTTCATTGCGCAACAGGAGGCGGGGCGGCGCAGGATAGTTCTCTGCACCACTAGTATGATCAATGGAGATCGCATGATGGAGGCGGCGATTCAGAAGGGGTCATTTGCGAAGATAGCGGCATAATTTCTATAAGATCATATAATCCTATCTTACCATTGTTGCCTCTTAATTAACCTACTTCTAATACCACAGTATCTACTGCCTCTGTTAGAATCTTGTATCTCTTTTTTTAATCAGTAAGAGAATCAATTAATATGAAAACCCGGCCTGAACACCCATCAACCGCCCCTGGTACCGCTCCATGACTTCTCCCAGCTTCACCATCACCCCCGCAGCCAATGTGCGCACCCGAGCCTGCGGATCGCTCGCCGGGTCTGCGCCTTTGATAGCCGGCATCCGGTCGAAAATCTCACCGGCCCACTCGCGCAGCTCGATTATCTCTGCGGCGAACTCGGTCACCAGGCGCTCTTCGCCAGATGTGCCCGAGCTGACATTGAGATCGATTAGGTTCAGGAATAGGGATAGCAGCGCGGCAAGGACGACTGGGTCGCTGGATATCGGGCTTGTGTGTAGTGAGAGGAGGAGGCTTAGAGTCTCACTCGTCAGGGTGGGAAGCGTAGGGGTGTTGGGACCGAGTGTCGAGAGAATCAGAGAGAGTGTCTGTAGGAAAAGTGTGAGCAAGGAAGGGCTCAAGAAGGGATTGTAAGATGGTGCGGTTGATCTAGAGAATTGCCAAAAAGGAAAGAATTAGTTAGTAGGTGTTTTAAAAGCAGAATTGAGAAGGATGCCATACGATGAAAATTGCAACATCATCAATTCGAACCGACCCTTCAACGGGTAGAAGAAGCTTTCGCTCAAGACTGGATATAAATCTTTAATGGTCGACTTTTGCCTCTGAACATCCCGCTGTTGGCGTTTCTTCTCGACGTCCATGCGCGAGGAGAATGTTCGCACTTTAAGAGCGTTGGGACCAGAAAGCGTATCTGCGGCATTGGCCGCCAGCGGTTGCAATGATGCTTGGGAAAGCTGCCTTGCCAGACTGGATACTGGAGACTCATCCGTGAGGTACAGCCTTTCGAGATTTGCTGGTAACTTCTTTGATGGGAAAGAGGAATCTGGAAGAGTCGGAAGCCCCAGTGTCTGCGCGTCTTCCTCACCGTTGCCGCCGAGTTCACGAGCACTCAGACCAAGGGCCGTGAGAATAGCCGAGCGCTGTGCCTGGGATATATCCCCATCGAAGAACATAGCGGAAAACCAGCGACCCATTTTGGAGGGTTGCGAAACAATCAAAGCCATCATGCTCTGTAAGCGGTACTCATGGAACTTGGAGGATTTCGATACATCCTGCAAACTCACGAGTACTAGAGCGAGCTCGTTTGTATGCTCAACGAGCTCGGTACCGAACCCCGTCTTACGGCGGATGAGCGATGGCGCTGTCCTAAGGGCAAGATCATATCGTTCGATGTTTTCGGAATCTCGAAGATATACAATCAAATCACGGATATATCTGTAATGCCAGTTAGTCAAAGCTAACCCCATACCGGAACACATGTAGTCTTACACTGGAGCTGTCGGTTTGATGCGTTGTACTAAAGTTGGATCGTCATCGGAGTCCGAAGGGTCATCATCGGGCTTCTCGTAAGGCATCAACTCATCTTCATCTCCATCCACATCCGAGTCAACAATTTCCTCTATTGAGATAATCTTAGACGAAGCACCGCTTTGTGCCCGAGAAACTCCAGTAGTCTTGGAAAAGGAAACCTTTGGAGGCATTCGTCTCTTGGGAATTGCTGATATTTCTGTCTTGAGACATTCCACTGAGCCCAATTGGTCATTAGTGGTAGTGAGACTCAAATATCTATTCGCGCTGTCGCTCTCCATCTCCTCGAGATCAAACCTCATAGCTTTCCCCGGCTCTTCAATCAATCGAGAAATTGCCATCCCGACTACCATCCCCAAGAACCGGGACCGTGCCGATGAGGCTGCTAATCGATTTGAGATGGAGCTGAGGAACAGGCTTGAGCGGCCAATTTCTACCACTGCGGAAGGATTGAGTCTGTGGAGGTAGCCTGTAGCTAGAAGCAGCGCCTGTGCATTTGCTGTTCCGAAATTAGCTTTTCTTCTTAGAATAGGTGGCATAACAAACCATTCTGAATAAGGGTTGGCGTATGCTTCATGTAGAGCTTATCGCCAAAATTCCCAAAAGATTTGTTGACGATATTTCTCAGAGAGTCTGCTCGAAGTGGGATCATTAGCTGATATTGACGAGGGAAAAGGTTCAAGAAGAGAGCTTGCCTTCTCGTTTGGCAAAGTTGGTCAGTAAAGATCGGCGAAGCCCGAGAGTTTGGATATAAGAACTTTGGCCCTTTGCTAGCAACTCAATGACTTGAGCTTCGAGATAAGATCGGTTCTCAAGGACAGTTGCGCATAGAGTGGCGATACCGTTGATGTATTCTGAGCTGGTTATGTCTATCTCTTGTCCAGAAAGCTCTTCAGCAAAATACTTCTTTTCTAAATCGCGAAAGATCGACATCAACACGCCCAGTTGATCACTAGGACGGAGGCCATTCAAAAACATATTAAACCGGTTCGATAGCGGCATCTCGATCAGGAGACCAAGATAGATTCCTTTAACCAATTGGTCTGAGAAGAAATTTAGTAATCTCTTAGGAAAATGGCTGCTCGTTGCAAATTACCAGTGTATCCAAGGCTCATCGCTCGGCTCATAAGAAAGGCAATAGATTTCCAGCCTGTTTCAGATGTCATATCGATTTTCGAAGCAAACCCTCGAATATTATCACCTAACCAAACAGCATAGCGAGAGCCCTCGCCTAGCCAAGACGAAGGATTTGAGTCATCTTGTTCCTTGAGTAAGGCGAGGACCTCTGCCGAGGTGGAGAGCACTTTGCTAGCCGCAATAAGAGAAACGAACTCCCTCCAAGCAGTCTGTTTCTGAGCCTCATTGGTGAATATTGAACCAAGGTCTGTAAATAAGCGAATAATCAAATCTTCTGGTTTGAGCAGATGCGAAAGAACTGATAAGATGTCTCGAATCACTATAGCTTTTCCAGACTCTTTTGATTCTCGGTTTTCTCCTTGATATTCGGCACAAAGCAAGCGCAGCTGGGTCAACAACGAACTGATACCAGGAACACTGCAGAGACATCGTAACAGAGCAGCCTTTGCTTTGCTTTCGGGAGACCTTTTCCCCCTAGTGCTATCATTTAGACGCTCCCAGTGCGTAGGTATTGTCGTGCTGACCATAGCTTGGAAGATCTGAGCAGCCTTGGGACTGGGAATTCGGATGTCAAAATCCTTGGCATCTTTATCCTTCCTGCTAGGATCAAGCGTCAAAAGAACTTCAATTATTTGCTCATAATCTGGATTCGATCTTAGCACGCCAAGTATATAATCTGGGGATGCCGAGTGAGTGGGCTGATGAGCTTTGCCTTGTTCAACCTGCGCTGAAGGAGCGATTAGCACATCTGCAGTCTCCAAAGAACTGCCGGTGCCATTCCTGGTCGTTTTCACGGCACTTAAAAGTCCTTCCATTTTGTCACAGTCGACTTGGGCAATCTGGAGAGAGAAGACTGTCGATGTGATGGAAGGTGCAAATTGTATGGAGGTCCAGGTCACGTGCGAGTGGTGCCTTGAGCATTTGTTGCTGCATTGCAACGAACCATCTTCAAGACCTCCTGCAACAACCTTCACAGACATCGAGCAGGCCTTGACGAAACGCCGTCTCTCGGGATCAATAATCGGAGGAATATTGAGACAGGGCTATTGAAAAATTCTTGTTGTAGCCTCGGAACTCTTTCGCTGGGAATTCCTCTGTGACGGCTTACCCCCCGCTTTATCAGCAAGCATAGGCTGAGAGCCGGTGAAGCAGTCTTCGACGCCTTTGTGTTTCTTGCGTCTTTCTCTACATATATCATAGGTGTTTTTGAACGAAGAGTACAGCAACTATGAGCACGGCAACTGTGGATTCTTCTGTTCGCTGGTAAAGGCCTCTTCTGTCAACATATGGTCAACAAGGCTGATTACAGCACAGGAAACACCTCTACGGGGTTCTGAGCACACCAGGGCCCTTTAGCGATGAAGACTGGGTTCCGGGACCAGAAACCATCACCGCGCTTGAATCATCAAAGATCTTGTTAGTATACGATAACGTTCGAGCTTGTTTATATCAACTAACAGATAGCACAGAGTCATGTATGCTCCGAATAATCGTGCTATATCTGAATAAACACTTACCATGACTAGCGGAGCTGGCGGCCTAGGATGCGAGATCTTGAAGAATCTTGCTCTGTCTGGGTTCAAGGACATTCATGTTATTGACATGGGTCTGTTTTTTTCTCATTTTCCGTCTATCGGCGAGCGATGTAGCTGACTGGATGCAGACACCATCGATATATCAAATCTAAATCGGCAATTTCTTTTCAGGCAAGCAGACATTGGCAAGCCGAAGGCGGAGGTTGCTGCTGCATTTGTAGAAAAGAGAGTCAAGGGAGTCAAAATCACTCCATATGTGGGCAAGATCCAAGACAAAGACGAAGATTATTATATGCAGTTCAAGATCGTTGTCTGTGGTCTGGACAGTATCGAAGCACGCCGTTGGATCAACTCAACCCTGATCGGCATGGTTGACCCGGAGGATCCTGAGAGCCTGAAGCCTTTGATCGACGGTGGTACCGAAGGTAAACAGGACATCATTCGCTGCAGTAAGAATGGTCGTTAGCTCACATTTATATCAGGGTTCAAAGGCCAAGCACGTGTCATTCTTCCTACTCTATCATCATGTATCGAGTGCCAACTTGACATGCATGCCCCACGGCCGGCCGTACCGTTATGCACCATTGCCACCATTCCGCGACAACCTCAACACTGCATTGAGTGGGCGCATCAGATTGCTTGGCAAGAACATCGCAAGGACGAGCCTTTTGACAGCGATAATATGGACCATACCTCATGGATTTATCAACAGGCTCTGGAGCGAGCCAAGAAATTCCACATCCATGGCGTTACTTTCCAGATGACACAGGGAGTGGTGAAGAACATCATTCCCGCTATTGCATCTACTAATGCTGTTATCGCCGCCGCCACGACTTCGGAAGCCTTGAAGATCGTCACATCCTGCAATCCTTACTTAGAGAACTACATGATGTACGCCGGGGAGGAAGGAGTCTACACGTATACCTTCGAGGCAGAGAAGAAACCTGACTGTCCTGTATGCGGAAACCTCGCACGAACGTTGTCTGTGGATCCCGACTCCACGCTGGAGGCTTTTATTGAGAGCCTGGGAGAACGGGCGGAAGCACAGTTGAAAAAACCCAGCATGCGCACAGAGGAGAAGACATTATACCAGCGATTCCCTCCGCAGCTGGAGGAACAGACAAGATCAAACCTAAAGCTAAAGCTAAGAGACCTGATCGAAGACGGGCAGGAAATTGCCGTCAGCGACCCGGCATATATTATCGATTTCAGGTTCCGGCTAGTGTTTAATAAATAGGTAGATGTACTAATGGGTTAGAGTGATAGGGCGGTAGCTTGACGAAAGTAATATATATCTGCATTTCTCAAGTCTATCAAGATCTCACTTGCTTCCAGACTCCAGCATCGTAAAGAAGGAAATCTTTCACCAACTTTTTTTCATTACTGTACAAAACAGCCAAAAAGAAAAAAAAAAAAAAACAAAAGAGGGAATCCAACGCCAGGAAAATGCATTTTTTGAGGCAACGCAATGCAAGGGGAAGATACGTCGACGATTACCGCATAAGGTCGGTCAGGCCCCTCTTCCATCTTGCGCACTTCAGCTTGAGAAGCTTGACGCTCTCAAGGAACAGAACATCGCTCTCAAACTGACCCGTGCTCTCCACGTTGAAGATGAAGTGATCCCTAATACGGCCCAGTTTGACCTTACCCTCGAATTCCTCGTGTCTCAGACATTCCCGGCTGACCGTGTCGTTAAACGCATCGCGCACCACGGCTTTGATGTCTCCCGCGTGGCCCTCGTAGCCACTGCCCTTCTGAGCGGCCTCCTGCGACGTGACCTTCTCGAGGCCAATGACACCCTTGGGGAAGCACTTGGCAAACTTCTTGGCATCGTCACCGAGGATAGGGCGGAGGATCTTGATATCTGGCATGAGCCGATAGCTCGCGGTGGCGACGGGGGAGAATTTTGCGTGGTCGGCCCCGATACCCTTGATGCAGTGCATCTCGATCTCGATCTTCTGATCAGGCCGCAGCTTTGCGACAAGGATATCCGGGTTCACCGGTTGGATAGCCTCGTCATCGACGAAGTACTGCTCCTGGCGACCAACGGCATTGAAGGCAATGTCCCGCGCGTAGACGTGAGCGTTGTGGTAGAGTTTGCGAGGATCCTGTTCACCCGGCGCAGCATTCGGGTTCTTCGTGCACTCGACGCTCAAGTGCAACACAATAGTATTATAGTCTGCGGGACTGCTTCCGCCTTCCGGATCATCCTCCGTTGGCTTCTTGAACCAGCGCATCCAGTTGATACCCTCCACAGAACCCTTGAGCGGGATGAGGCCGAGTCGAGCAGCCAAAACCTCGTCCTGGATGACCGAGGTGTTGTTATGAACGAAGACGTATTCTATGGCAAGAGTTGGGATCTCTGCCATCATGATCCGACGGAAAGCATTGGCAATGGCAGCATCGAGGCCGATCAGTGAGAAAGCCGCCTCGAACCGGTCGTTGCGATGGAATTCAACCTGGAAACCCTGTTCATCGTCATGATGAGAGACAGTCATAAAACTAGATTTTTTAGATCCAACGTACATCGCGAAACTTGTTCAAATCCCAAGCATGGTCTTCACCAGGCCAATGGCCAGGAAAATCCGTAGAGGACATATTCGTCACCGTCTCGGCGTTGATCCCCACGATCTGTATTAGTTCGTTAGCAAAAGAGTGAAAAATTTCCCTTGAACATGGGACTGTTGATCGTACCCTCCGCCGTTCCAGTTCTTCTTGCGAGGGAATGAGAGGCGCCATGGCTGCTGCTGTTATATGATATGTGGAAGACGTGCAATATGAAATATGAAATCTTCGGATTGATAATTTCTTGGAATGGCAGTATTTTTTGCATCCAGGGCGGAAAGAGCAGGTATCTAAAACTATGCTTTAGATCTGGATCCACAACGAGTATAGCCCTCTAATTGGTTGTGGAATAGTGTGACTAGACTGTACACAGGTTAGCGCATTATCTAGCGCTGCCGCTTATAAATGCCTTTGAGACCAACCAGAAGCGGCCTGATGACCACCGACCAGCAGCTCTCGGTCACGTGGCGCGACCAAATTGATCCTATTCCTGCCGAACGTCAAACCGCCGTCAACAAGGACAACCGGGCGTCGCAACAGTCCTGCTTCCCATTGAGTGCGAGCGGACCGAGGACAGTTAGTTCTAATCCCCTGTCGTTGCCTCCTGAGCTATCTGGAATGGCTGCCTCTTTCACTCGGCTGGTGGGCAATGCGCCCAAAAGGCTCTGCCTCCGCCCCTCCACTCTGTCGAGAAACACGACACTCCCCCGAACTCGCTCGATAGCTACCTCGCTTTCTCGTCGCGCGGCCGAGCCGACTAGCTACCAGGCCACCCGGCTGGTGCCCACCGACCCGACGTTTGCGCACCTGGCCAACAAGGGAGCTCCCGAGGTCCCCGAAGAGGCTGCTGCCCTCGAGTCTGAGGTCGAGGGCGTCAACCGCAAGATCCGCCACTACACTGTCAACTTTGGACCCCAGCATCCTGCCGCCCACGGTGTGCTTCGGTTAATTCTGGAGCTCAATGGCGAAGAGATCATCCGTGCCGACCCGCACGTTGGTCTGCTGCACCGTGGAACGGAGAAGTTGATCGAGTACAAGACCTACATGCAGGCGTTGCCTTACTTTGATCGATTGGACTATGTCTCCATGATGACCAATGAGCAATGTTATTCGCTGGCGGTCGAGAAGCTGCTCAACATTGAAATTCCCGACAGAGCCAAGTTCATCCGTACACTGTTCGGCGAGATCACTCGTATCCTCAACCATCTCATGTCTATTCTGTCGCACGCTATGGACGTTGGTGCTTTGACTCCTTTCCTGTGGGGTTTCGAGGAGCGTGAGAAGCTCATGGTATGTACACTGCCGCAAATTTGGACCTGACCTCTACAAAAGGCAACGCTAATGTTTCCTCTCGTTTGAAAATTAGGAATTCTATGAGCGCGTTTCCGGTGCCCGTCTTCACGCCGCCTATGTTCGTCCTGGCGGTGTGTCCCAGGATATTCCTCTCGGTCTTCTCGATGATATCTACCAATGGGCCACCCAGTTCGGCGACCGTATCGACGAGACCGAGGAGTTGTTGACGGACAACCGGATCTGGAAGGCCAGAACCCAGGGTGTGGGTGTCGTCAGCGCCGCGGAGGCCCTGAACATGAGTTTCAGCGGTGTGATGCTGCGTGGATCCGGTGTGCCTTGGGATATCCGCAAGTCCCAGCCGTACGACGCGTATGACCAGGTCGAGTTTGACGTCCCCGTCGGTGTCAACGGCGACTGCTACGACCGCTACCTCTGCCGGATGGAGGAGTTCCGCCAGTCTCTCCGTATCATCCACCAGTGCTTGAACAAGATGCCCGCCGGCCCCGTCCGCGTGGAGGACTACAAGATCATGCCCCCGCCCCGTGCGGCGATGAAGGAGAACATGGAGGCGCTGATCCACCATTTCCTGCTCTTCACCAAGGGCTACACCGTGCCTCCTGGTGAGACCTACTCCGCCATCGAGGCGCCCAAGGGCGAGATGGCTGTGTTCCTTGTCAGCGATGGCAGCGAGCGGCCGTATCGTTGCAAGATCCGTGCTCCTGGGTTTGCCCACCTTGGCGGCTTTGACCAAATTGCTCGCGGCCACTTGCTGGCTGATGCCGTCGCCATCATTGGTGAGTCTATATATAGTTTCCCCTTTCTCCTTATTCTAAGTGGTGTTCGTACTGACGATTTCAAGGTACCATGGATCTCGTGTTCGGTGAAGTCGACCGGTAAAACACTGTACAGATGGACGGCTCGGCTGCTGAACCCAAACTTGTTTCACTTAGATCAGTCAAAACGCAGAGACGGAGGGGGAAGAAAATAGAGAGCTTCCGTGTGTGTACTATGAGCAGCGCAGCGGCTGGCTGTAACATTTTACCCTGATAATGGCGTTTTCTTATGTTTTTCATTCGTTCGAGCTTTTTTTTTTTCTTCTTCTCAATAGTATTGTATAAGGCAAGACAAGGATCAGAGGTAAAAACTGTAACTTTAGTGTCGTAGATTCTTCCACGTAACTGCTAACAAAAGTACAAATCTAGAATCACTATCTAGATAGATAGATAGATAGATGCCTTGAAGGACCACGAGCTAACCGCCCCTCGCCAACGCCACGCAATGAGAAAAAAAAAAGGAATAAATCAAAGTGTTGGCTGTTTTCACACATTATCGTCATCGTAGAAGAAGTTGATATCCCGCGGTCTCCGCCGATTATACGAGACAAAGTCAGCGTCGCCCGGGGGTCTCTCGTCGCGCGAGTTGGCAGTCAACATGCTCTGGATGCTCATGCAGACGCTCTCGACCGTCTGGACGGGCGACCATCCCGCGGAACTGAGCAGATCGAGACAGATGATCCCGTTGCTGTAGATGTGTGGGTGGATGGGGATCGGGCGGGGGTCGGGAGCGGCGGACTGGATGAACTGGACTTCGGGGGGTTCTAACAGCTGTCAACAGGTTTCTCTTTTTTTTATATATATAAATTTGTTACAATATGTGTGTTATTACCAATAGGGTATTTCGATCCAAAGGTGAATTTCAACCGGTACGTCTGGCCGCGGTACAGTGGGTTGTCGTCCAGGACTTGGATGTCCATCTGCCATTCCTCGAGATTCTCCGATTTGGCGATTGCGATTCCGGGGGGGAGGTGTTCTTTCATCTGACTTGTTAGTGTAATGTGTAGAAGATTTCTAGTACATCTCTATCTACCTTCAACAGCTCCTTAAGTGGTATTAGCATCGACAGAATTATATGAACGTGAACATGAATGTGAAAGTGCGGGGTGTACCTTGCCTAACCGTTTGCCTGCAAACATCTTTTCTGAAGGAGTAGATGACCACCTGCCAAAATCCACCTGCCAGATACCGCTGTAAAAGGATCAAAGATTGGACTGATTTGAGTGTCTGTCTCCGGGAGAGCAGCAGCGGGGAGAGTGTGCACCTCGATGGGCTGACTGCGATGAAACGTGGAGTCGCGCTCAGTGGAATGACGTTGTGACTAGCGGAGCCAAAGGCCGACGCGAAGCAGAGCAGTATGATATTCACCTCGAGTAGAGAGGGAAATAGGGAAAGAAATAGAGCAGATAGGATGGAAAGTAATTAAATCAAGGATGACTGCCTGGATAAATTACTACTAGTACTAAGACAGACCTGACCTGGTCACCCGCCACTGCCCAGGCTCATTATTATGACTACAAGCCATTAGTCTTATCACTGAGATTTGACAAGAGAAAAGTGTAGAGTCTTAGCAGCAGGTGATCTTAAGGAGTGATATCTCTATATTAAGGAAATTCTTTATTGGAAAGGGTTCTATGTAAAGACCTTCACTGCCATCAGCTGGAAGTGAAGGATCTAAATTTGAGCTAGGTTATAGACAACAGAAAAAGAAAATGACCAGCTAAAGAACAATAGAATAGAAAATGGGGAAGAAAAGAAAAAAACAACAGTCCACTAGAGCGGACAGGTCCAGCGGCCACCAGTCTGGTTCGAAGAGGGGAATCATCCAACAATATCCATAGGCAGTAAGGGTAGCGGCCGGGGGAGGAAAGAGAAAAGGAAGAAAAAAGGAAGACAAAAAGGAGGATCAGAGGATAGAGAACTAGGAATGAGCAGCCTTTTCGCGAGCTTCGCGTTCCACCTTCTCCAGCTCTTCGTTGTCCTTCATCTCGCGGACCTTGGCCAGCACGACCTCGCGGAAGATGGCACCGCGGGCGACCTTGCTCAGGCTGCGCTTCTTGGTCGTGACCGGAGCCTCGTCAGTCGATGCAGCAGCGGCCTTGTCGCTCTGCTCGCCTGCCTTGGGTAACAGGGAGGCGGCAGCGGCACCGCCATTGGCCGCCGCCACCTCGACGGGGCTGGGGATGTCTTCTTCGTCCTCCTCCTGCATCTTGAGGGCCTCGATGCGGTTGGCGAGCTTGACGATCTCGATACCGCGGCGAAGGCGGGAGCGAGCAATGTAGGCCTTGATCTCCGGCAGCAGATCGCGGTCGCTGGCCGTCTCACCGGTCAGCCAGACTTGCTTGAGGGCTTCCTCGGAGGTGGGGCGCTTTGCCGGGTCGGGCTGCAGCAGGGAGATGATGAAGTCCTTGGCGTCCTGGGAGACGTCGCGCCAATAGCGTTCATGGAAGATGATGCGGCCGGCACGGCACTCCTCGATCAGGTCCGACAGGTTCTCCGACCGGAAGGGGGAGTAGCCGCAGAGCAGGGTGTAGGTGATGACGCCGAGCGACCACATGTCGACGGCCTTGCCGTGGCCCTGTTTCATCATCACTTCGGGAGCGGCGTACCCGAACGAGCCCGCCATGCTCGTCAGGACCTCGGTCGGAGTTTCGAGCATCTTGGCGATACCGAAATCAGCGAGGACCAGCGGGGAATCGGCAGCACGCGTCAAGTACAGAAGATTCTCGGGTTTTAAATCTGGCAATCCGTCAGCGCTATTCCACCGATGGTAAACCATGGAAACCCACCTCGGTGAACGATATTCCTCTCGTGGAGGTAGTTGACGGCTTCGAGCACCTGGCGGATTGTTTGCGAAGCATCCTTCTCCGTGAACTTGCCATAGTCGCAGATGCGGTCAAACAGCTCCCCACCGGTGGCTAGTTGCGTAACAATGTAGAATTTGTCCTGCTATCGTCAGCAGCTTGCCCAATGCGAATCTAGAGATAGATGCCCTCATATGATTATATATATATATATATATACCTTTGATTCGAACCAGTCGACAAAGTGGACAATATTGGGGTGATTCAGCGCCTGCAACAGCTCCAGCTCATCGTAGACCATATCCTCATGACCGCGAACATTCTTCTTGAGGATAATCTTGATCGCGACCTTGCCGGAGCTGCTTTCAGCCTCACGCACGATCCCGTATGTGCCAGCGCCCAGCGTCCTGCCGAATTTGTACAGTGCTCTACAAGACCCATGAGCACACATCACACCATATAGGGTTTTTTTTCTTTTCATTTTCTATTTTTGATCTTTCAAGGGGCCGTACTTCTTCTCGTAGCTCTCGGGCTGACCCGACAGCTTGTTGAACATCGTCGTGACTATTCCGACAGACATTAGTATTGCAAGCAAGAAATAAAAACCAAGAACAAGCATCGCTTCACACCAGAGGAAAGAAACAGAACAACCGCCTCTAGCATACGGGCACTGCTGCCCAGGAGGAGCAGCACAAGGGCTGCCAGCGACATGGCTCTCTCTCTCTCTCTCTTTCCCTGCAGGACGAACCGAACAGCGGCAGCGCGTCACAGTCGAGGCATTGGCCGAGGCGGAGACGGGCGATCATAAAAAACTACCACAAACAGACGAAGAAGGAAATTCGCAGACTCACAACTCATGGCACCGGTTGGAGGACCTCCCGTCACGTCCTGGGGCGGGTGTGTTAATGGTTGTGTTGGTGGTGGTGTTGGTTGGAGTTGGTAGAGTGGATAAAAGACAGCTGAGAGAGCCCCGCAGCGAGGAGGGGGGGGAAGACAGAGGGAGGAATAACGAGACGCGAGAGCTTCGAAGGAACTCTTGGAGAGGGAGATTCAGGAGAGACACAATGAGAAATGGATTCAATGGCAAATACGAGTCAAGCGAGATGGGTTTATCCGGCCAAGAGCACGCGAGGCTGGTCTAGCGAGTCTGTGTCGGATCGTCAGACAAAACGCGGACCCTCGTGGAGGGGTACTGGATCAGGGGGGAGTTAGTATGAAACACTGAACAGAGATCAGCGAACAGGGAGCGCAAGCTAAGGACACTTTATCAAGACGAACCGAGATCGATGCCGCGTGGGTCAGAATAAATAGATCTGGAGGAATTGGCTGTTGGGTTGTACTCTTTGGAGGGGATCAAGAGAATGATACCTCGCGGCTGAGCACAGCCACAGTCAGCCTGTCCAGCCTGGATACATATTCAGAGTAGATTATAGAATTAGGAGATAAGTCTAGTCTTCAATCTGGAATTAGTACAGTAGTTAATGGTTTGACTGGATGCGTTGATGGAGCAGGGAGACAGAAGAACTTGAAGCTCCAGAGATAAATCCAAGTACTACGTGTATAGTTAATACTCAAGAACAATTAGAACTTATTGAAATAGGACTATGACCCAACTACTCCAGGTACAGCTCATCCAAAACCATGCTACAGAACGCCTTGTAGTACTCCGCCCCCTTCCACGCGCGCTGCCGCGACCTCAATCCCACCGTCTGCCATTCTTCTGCCCGCAGACGAGCGATCCGCTGCTCCATCGTCTCCTGGCCACAGGGCAGAGGTTTGACCTCCTCCCGGCTCGCCTCGTCTTTGATCGGACTGAAGCTCCAGAAGGAAGTCGACCGGTTGGGCGTGGCCATCCGGCGGAGGCGCTGCAGCTCGTCCGTCTCGCCGATGAGTCTCTGCACCGACGCGATGCTCGCGGTGACCTGCCCGCGCAGCGACTCGATGCAGCTGTTGTACAGTTGGACACTCTTCGTCTGCTCAGGTGTATGCTCACTGGTACTAGCAGCCACCGACTGTGTTTTCTGTGGAGTACTGCACGGCACGATTTTGATAGGAAGAGGCGGAGGGCGACGAGCTCGAGAACCCCCGACGTTCAGACGCGAGGCAGAAATGGGTGCCAGCGGCGCAGGAGAGGTCGTCGCCACGGCCAGCTGCGCGACACGGCGGAGACTGTTGGTCGACTTTCTGATCTTCAGCGGAGACGGCTGCAGGGCTTTTCTCTCGGGATCCACGGGGATGACGACCGTCCGGCTGGGATGCATCTTTTGGGGCGAGACAAACGGGTCGTCCATGGTGCAGCTGAGGGATCGCTCGATGATCCGCGTGAGATCGTTGACCAGCTGCTCTGTCGAGCCGTCCGAGGAAGAAGACCCAGACCCAGAGACCGAGGCGGAGAAACACGACAAGGAAGACGCATCCGTCGAGGAGGAGGGGGGACTGTCTGAGTCGTCAGCCGCTTCCAGCACAGGGATCGCAGATGGCAAGACCGAGCTGCAGGAAAGGAAATAGTCCTGCGCCAGGCGAAGCAGAGGCAGCTTGTTGCTCGAATACTTGTGGGCTGCTCGACCGAGGATTTCGTACGAGATGGCGCTGTAGAAGCACAGGTATGTTTTGTACACTGGATGGACCTGGTCTGTCAGACACACACAGAGAGAGAGAGAACACATGAGACAGAACACGACATGCTTACAGGTTCCTTTGCAGACTTGAGCAAGTCCGTCGCCCTGGCAGCACACTGCTTGTACTGTCGCTGGAGATAGAGCACTTTGACTCCCTCCAGCATCCGCTTCCATTGCTCGGATGCTATGCCACGAGCCACGATCCGCGAGGGCGTCATCGCAATTGGAATCCTCCGGTCTGATGTCGACATCTTGAACCTTAGGGACTGGGGAGAGCTGAGTCTGGATGTAAACAAGAGAATGAAATAAAAATTTTTTTTTTCCCAAATGGTCACCTGGCGCGTCGAGGAAAGTAAACAAAGACCACAATCGAGAGGATCTTGGAGACTCACTAATAGATACCTTAGATACCTCAGGTATAAAGGATATCTGTGAGAGCATGTAGCTTGGGGTGATTGCAGTATTTGCCATCTGAGAGATCTCAGCAAGAGCTCTACAATGTCTCGATTTTGCATTTATACCTGGTGTATCACTTTGCAAGCCCAGACATAAAGAGCAAATCCATGTGCTCGTCTCGAGGGTAGCTTCGTGGAGAGAATACAGGGGTTGAAGAAATATTAACTGTTGACGTTGGTATCCCTGAATGGACTTTTACAGCGTGTTGTTATATCAGTGAGATGAAGTATGGTGTCTGTATTCAACGATTTTTTAGGCTATTTTCAAACTATCCTGCTGATATCCTATTACGCTGACAGTTCCCTCTCCTCACTCAGTCTCTCCATCTGTTGACTTCCTTTTAGGGGGTGGGGGGGGGGGTGTTACTACTCTGCTCTGTCAATATTGAAGCGCGACAATGCCTCCCCCGTAGCAGACAATGCATCCAGAAAGTCTCCCAACAGCCGGTCCAGCTCGGCGGTGACCACCTGGTCGTCCGCGTCGTGGGCCAGGCTTTCAATGCTGGGCGGCACCAGGTCCGGGAATCGAACCGGTCCGGCGCCGCGGCGTCGGGCAGTCGCCAGTGGCGCGGGGATGACCGACTCGCGCGCGGGGTGGAGATGATCGCCCAGCCCCTTGGACGGGAGCACGGTGGGGAACGACGATGAGGCCTCATGCGGCGGGATGGACGGGTCGGAAATCATCCGGTTGTGCTGCCAGACGGGATTGCTGTCCTCCTCGTCCGGGCCAGGCCCGTCCAGGACGGAAGACGGCTCGAAATCGGCGTATCCCGATGATTCCATCATCTCCGGAAATGCATTATCGAAGAAATGACCGTGTTGTTCTGACGACCCGCCGGGTGGCGTCGCTGGCCGGTCGAACCGGAAGGGGTCGTAGTCTGTGTCGGACGCGCTGCTGGAGACGTTGGATGCTGCCGTGGATGGGCGCGAGTCGCCGGGCTCGCCGATACTGTCACGGTGTCGAGCCGTCAACGGCTGCTGCAGCGAGGTCAGGGGTGCCCGAAGAGTGTCTTCGTGCAGGCTTTCCGAGGCATTGTTGTTCTCATTCTCCTCCCCTGTCTCGGGCTCATCAGCCGATGCGGTCATCACAGGGAATGTCCATTCCATCGTAGCCCGTTTGTCGGTGGGGTCTACTTGATCTGGGGCTCGCGCTTCTTCTTCTTCTTCCTCCCTTGCTTGGGCGTTTTCTGAAGCGGAATCTTCCTCGGCCGGCACCATAAACGTAGGGAATTTCCAATCCATCGTGGGCGGGCGAGGGCCGCTGGGCGGCTGGTACGCCTCCTCCAGCTCCGGTTCCAGGTTGACGCTGGCGGCATCTCTGCTGGAGGAGCGGGAGCGGCTGCCGGACGAAGAATTTCGCTGTGTTCGACCACTCGATCGGTTAGCCCGAATGGTGTCTGCGTCCGCGAGTTGAAACGGGTGGGCAGAGGCGCTTCCCGCAGCATAGTGGGACGAATCAAAGGAGCCGATGTCGATATCAATAAACGTTGACGTGACGGACGACCGGTCGGTCTCGGTGCGGAGCGGCAGGTCCGAGTAGGACGGCTTCGGCTCGATAGGGACAAAGTCGTTCTTTGTCTCATACTTGTAGCTCGGCATGTCCTCGTTAAACAGGCCCTCCATCGCGGCCGCGCCGCGCCGGACCCGTTCGTCAAAGTTGGCCTGCTCGACGGGAGTCAGGTCCACCGCGCCGGAAAAGAGCAATTCTTCCGGCGTGTTGCGTTCGGGGTTGGGCCGCACGGGTCCCATCTGCTCCTCCAGCTCGGCCAGCTCGGCAGCAAGCTGATCCAGATCTATGACGGAAAATCGCCTTTCGAACCCGTCAGTGGTGCTGAAGTTCCAATCTTCGTTGACGGTTTCTTCGACTCCCGGGAACTCAGCTGCTGCCGCTCCGCCAGGGTGGAAGAGAGAGATCCGCTGGCCACCACGCTGTGACCACTGGTAGTAGATGCGGACGAGTTCGCTCACAGAGGATATGGGGTACTCTTCCTCTGAATCTTGGATGTACGAGTGTGATAGGATGTCTCCCATCGTGGGTCGCGTGGCCGGATCGGACTCCAAGGCGAATCCAACGAGGTCCCGGAGACTTTCACTGTACCGATCACCATCTAGCTTCGGGGTACTACGATTGAGTTGTCGTCCAATCTGCATGCGCTCTCGCAGACCAGAATTTGGGGGGTTGCCGGTGGCAAACTCGAAGAGCGTGCATCCATACGCCCACACATCAATCTAACCTATGTAAGCCGCAGGAAGTCTGAAAGGCAAGAGTGGCCACGCAATCATTTACCTCACTGCCGTATTGATGAGCCTCGCCTCTGGTCGCGAACATCTCCGGAGGCATCCAGTGTGGTGTGCCGATCCAGGTAGATCGCTTATCCAGCTGTGTTTGTAGAATACCGGCAACGCCAAAGTCGCAAATTTGCAGTCGTCCTTCTTCGTGAATAAGAATATTCGCAGCTGCCATTTTATATCAGCATGTCCTTCTTTTGGAACTCCGAAACCAGAGAGGTAAGCCGACCGACCATACCTTTGACGTCTCGGTGAATAATCCCGGCAGCATGGATGGCACGTAGCCCTTCCGCAAGCTCTCGAGCAATGGGGATGATGAACTTTTCGTCCAGCTTATCACCAGTTGCACGCATCTACCGCAAGGTCAGCATGACTTCATACTACAACAGAGAGGAGAGAAAATCTACCAGAGTTCTGACACTGCCCCCAGGGCAGTACTCGCAAACCAACCACAGCTGGGAATGGATCGAAATTGCCTCGATGATCTCGTTGATGTTCTTCGCACCGGCATCTTTGACCTGTTTCATGACCTTGGTCTCATGGATGAAATCCTTGATAGACTCATCGCGGAAATCGCGAACAGACCTATAATCGATCGAGTCGATATCCATGACCTTGATCGCCACCAGCTTCTGAGAAGGGAGTTGATGACCCTTGTACACACGACCATAGGCGCCCTTGCCGATTAGCTCTTCAAACTCATAGGGAGGAGCCTCGCTTTTCGCACGCCGGCACATCTCCTGCACGGCGGCAGCTTGCTCCTTTGCCAGGCGAATCGCCTCGGCCTTGTGTTTTGTGATGGCTGCCATGGCCGGGTCAAGGAGACGGGAAGTCCGAGGAGGATCCATTTCAGAGACGGTCTCGTCTTCTCCACACCAAGTATCGGGAACAGGAGGCTGGATGGAGATGCGGTGGAGCCGCCGGGTGACGGGGCCAGGAAGTGTGTCCTCGCTGGCAGGAGAGACCGGGGCTGTGGTGTTGTTCGACCTTTCTTCACTGCTATTAGCACCTGGGCAAATGGTAGAGTCGGGCAAGAGGGGTTCCTTGTCAGGGGCTCTGGCTTGCAGTAGCTGCTCGCGCTCAAACCAAAAGGCCTCGGGGCTCTTCCAGCCTTGACAGGCGAAAGCTTTCCGGGCCTTATCGTCGGGGAGCAGCGGGGAGCTTATCAAGCGCCGGTTGGGTTGCTTTGGGGGGAAAATTCGGGGGGAAGCAATTCTGAACCTCTTGCCAAACGACCGATGTGTCTCATTCCGGCTCCCAGAGCGGGTAGAAAGGAGATTATTCTCAGGTCGGGCTGCTGGAGGCTTGGATCCAAGGGGGTAATCACCGGGTGAGCTCTTAACAGGGCTGCGGGGGCTGGGGTGGAAGAGGTTCTTGAGAGCGGAACTAAGATGAAATGGACTTACCGCCCGTGACTTCTGATCCGAGTGGCGCCTGTACGCTTTCACCGAGGAAGCTGAGGGATAAGAGTGCCGCGCGTTAACGAACGAAAACTTCCGGGACAACACACGGGGCCTTCGAGGGGGTTTGTCGGAAAGTTGGGGCAAGCGGGTGGGAGTTGGGGTGGAGTCCTTTCTGCTGCGATTCTTGAAGTAATTCACGTCAATATACGTGTTAGGCGTTAGTATACCAAGGTCGCTTGCTTGGCGGACAGGTGGACTAGGCGAATGTTCCGGCAGTGCAAACTTGCCAATGGTCTGGTCGGTGTAAGCACGCTTCAACGGCACGCGGATGTATGTGTTGGGCGTCAATAAGCCGAGTTCGCTAGCCGAGCAAGTGACAAATGGAGAATGACTAGTGTTTCCCTCGGTGATCGTATTGGAGAGACTTGAACTTTGAGGCGAAAGTGTAACGGGGTGTCTTATCTTACCCTGGTGAAGAGCACCGCTTGTGTCGATGGGGTGGGGCACACGCGATATCTTCTGGCGCCCAGCTGGTACTACAGTCAATGAAGGATCCGCGAGAGAAGCCTGGCTGCAGAATGGTTTGTTGATGAGAACTGAAGACACGGATGAGTCACAGTTATCTACCTGAGGCTCAGGCTCCCTGATGTCCGTGCCGATGATATCAGACGAATGTTCAAGCTCGATGTTCTCCAGGCTGTATCCCCCAATCCCTCGATATTAGTGACCAGAAAGGAGGACTGCAAGGTAGATAGTCGACTTGCCTGTGATCCGGTTCCTTGTCAGTGGACGACGAGACCTCTCGGCCGGCGATTTCTGAATATGACAAGACTAGTCTGGTGGCGTGTTCCCCAAATTCGTCCAGAACCGCCTGCTGGAGCTCAGTCCCGGCCCGAAGACGTGGGGAGACGTCCCGATAGGTGAAACTCCTACGCGGCTGAGCAGTTGATGGCTCGGGCTCTACACTGCCCTCACGGCTTGAAGAGCCAGTGACGCTTCGGTAGTCCCATAAGCTATCAAACGACAGGCTCCGCGATTGACTGTCACTCGACAGGGATCTTTGTTCCACGGCAGTCAGCATATCAGGATTCAACCGATAGGAAAGAAACAAGAATAGAAAAGAAAAAAAAGAAAAAAGCAGAGAACAACGGTTGGGGAAGATCAAACCCATAGACGGCTCTACGACGCGCTGCCTGACGTGGCGATCGACCCATGATGCCAGATCTCCCTGGCTTCACGAGGAAGCCAGACACTTGGCTCGTCGAGCAGTCTCGAGGTAGCGATATAGGCAGAAGAGACGACAGAGAGACGGGAGAGAGACGACAGGGAGATGACAGAGAGACGGGAAAGACAACAGAAGAGACGGGAGAGACAACAAAGGAGACATGGTGAGAGAAGAAAAGAAAAGGAGGGGCTGGGGAGGGGGAGGGGGGAGAGATTCACTAGACGTACAGCGTGGACTGCACTGAAGCTCTTGCCTTGAGCAGCAGGAGGGGAGAGCAATATCAGACCCTCTCAACAAGTGACCAGCAGCTATGAAGCCACCACACCTTCAAGGGAACCGGCCCCCTGAAAATGGGACAGAGGCGGGGATTCTGAATTCAGCAGCCGAGACCAATCGACGTGGCTGAGCGTCTGATGCGTTTTCGCGCGAGATACACCTCCTCTTACACGCCAGCACAATCCATGATCTGATCCCACTGTATATAAAGCCTGAACACTTCCTGAGGGCCTCCAATTGTCCTGCTCTGGCATGAAGTGAGAAGGCGGTGACGTTGAGGCACGCTAACTGGCGCTAAAGAGCGGGCGCTAAATTAGCGTAACAGTTGGGTTAGTAAGGGATTAGTAATAGGCTGATGACTTAGATATCTCACGTGTGAATAGTACTCTGTATTACGTAACAGTTGACTAGATAAAGGGAAGAAGATGGCAGGTAGAGAGAGGGAGTAAGCAGGAGGTGGCCTTGGTGTCTACTGGTAACTGCTTAGTCATGATCGCGCAGCGACTCTGGCTAATAGAACAGTACTATGGTTACTACTGCATACAGTACCTACCTAGGTACTTAGTAGAAGGTACTAGTCCGTATACTCTTAGATTATATCAGGATATAGATAGTATATATTCATTGACATCTGTCTGGCCGAGTTATAACTAGTTTGACAAAATTTCCAATGTTTTTTCTCATCATGCCATTTACAGGCCAAATTCCTGCTTGACAGCGTCCGCAAGGCGAGAAATAGCCTGGAAGATCTGCTCTTCCGATGCAGTGGCAAACGTTGCGCGGAAGAACATCTTCTCCTCCTTGACACTGCCGTCGGCCTTGAACCAGCTGCCGCGCGAAACGAGCACTCCGCGCTCAACGGCCGCCATGAAGATTGCCTCCTCGATCTCGTCGTGCGTCTTGGATGCGATCTTGGGGTGTTTGCGCCAGTCGACCTCGATCCAGTGCTGTGTTGTTAGAAAAGCATAAATAAAAAAGTTTAGAAAAAAAAAAGGGGGGGGGAAGAGAAAGACTTACAAACATGCCGGCAGCGGGGGGGATCCAGCTGACAATGTCAGTAGGGAAATACTTCTCGCAAGCATGGATGAGCGAGTCGCGGCGGTTGGTGTACTCGAGACGCAGGTGGATGAGCCAGTCCAGATAACCCGCGTGGCCCCACTGCTCGTCCAGCAGTTTGTAGAGAGCAATCTGCGAGAAGCCGCTGGGGTTCTGGGTGGAGACCTCGAACTGGCGGGTAAAGCGCTCGATGATCTGTTCGGAGGCGACCAGCCAGCCGACACGGGAACCGGGGGAGATGACCTTGGAAAAGGACTCGAGGCGGCAGACGCGGCCGTCGACGTCGATGCTCAGGTACGAAGGAACCAGCGACTTGAGGAACTCGTCATGGTTGGCCGGGGGGGGTACGGCCTTGCCCTCGGCGCCGGCGTACGGCTGCATCTGCAGGAAATAGTAGGGCTCGTCTTCGATGATGTAGACCCCGTGCTTCTGCGCGACCTGGTATACAGCCTTGCGGCGCTCCAGAGATTGCGTGGCGCCCGTGGGGTTCTGGCCCGTAGGGATGGTGTAGAGGAGGAACGGCTTGCGCGCGCCCCGCGCCGTTTCATCCCAGTTGGACAGGATCTCGTCCAGGGCATCGGGCCGGAGACCTTCTTCGTCCATTCCGACGGGGAGACCCTTGACACCCAGGGGGAGGGCCGTCTCCAGCGCGCTGACAAATGTGTATTCCTCCATCAGAATATAGTCACCCCTCTCGCAGAACAGCCTCAGAGTGGAATCCCATGCAGCCGTGCTTCCGGGGGTCAGGCAACACTGCCAGTCTGAGTACGGGGGGTTGTGGATCAACTGATTGGATTGGTGTGATTAGTCGAGGCACACACAAAAAGGAAGATAACTTGATGTCCTACCTCTGTGTGTTCCGTAACCCAGCGAATCATCTGGGCAGAGCCCGTGGCCTGGCCGTAGTTGAGACAAATTTCGAGATCTTAGATGTTGTCAGTATGTATATCCGGCGCGGCCGTGTCAAGCGAATCAAATCACCCACCATATAGACTCTTCCCCTCACGAATGTCATTCTTGGTTGCCTTGAGCAGCACACCGGTCTCCTTTGTCTCTTCCGGAGAGAACTGCGGCACCTTTGGCACCTTGAAGTCGATGTGTTCGAAGGGGAAGTAGTCGGCAGACGGTAAGCCACCACCGAGCGAAATCAATCCTAAAGCGAAGCGAGACCTGTCAGTATGCGAAGACCTTCCCGTAGAATCTACCAGTGCATGCACATACCGGGGTTCTTCATGTACTTGGCAGCCCCCTTAAGCGTCGACGACTTGACACGAGTTCAGTTTCCATTGTACGCACGACCAAAAGCACACCGACACACAACAGGCATACCTTGCGGGAACGCGACTCGAGAGAAATGACATCTAGCGCCCCGTCAGCAGTTATCCTTGGGATTCTCCCTCCGACAGTGTCACTTACGATCCCACCGCTTCGCCTTGGGCTTCGCGAAGCATGCCTAGATAGTAGGTAGATCCAGTCAGTGGAAATCTTTTCCCTTGTGACAATACAGCACGACAGTAGTACACCGCCTCTTTCACAGAAACCGACAGCCACAACTGCGTCTTCGCTGTTTTCTTTCTTTACGTACCGGACTCTTGAACATATCACTGCTACTCCCCGCGGCGACGCCCAGCGGCATCTTCGACCCCTTGGCGCGCAGAGCAGCGATGCCATCCACGGTCAATGGGCTGATGGAGACGGGCGTTCCCGTCGAACCGACGTCAAGAGCAGGAGGGCTCATCGTGTACGATCTTGACGCCTGGGGTATAATCTTTTTACACGTGTGGGATGAGTTATCTTCTGGAAGGACGACCGTCTGGAATGTGGAGGAGAGAAATCAAGGAACTGGAAAGACAGCGGAAGCCGTCCCTTTTATCTGTTATGACTCCTGGCCCCCCCGAAATTTGCAAGCGGATCCGAGCAAACGACCCGGAGCGGAGCCAGGCGACTCTTATCGGACGGAAGCTGGCGGCCAGACAAAAATTACCAGACCGACTGGCCAGTCAGTAAGTAAGTACTAGTCGGTCCAAGGGATCTGAGGTTGCAGCTCGAGGTGTTACTGGGGCCAATAATGCATTGTAGTTGGCACCTTAGGAGACAGGTCTATTTCATTATGCAATTGTTTGATCGGCTGTCGGAAGCGAGGATCCAATGGACGAGTCAGTAGTGGTTATAGGATCTGTCACAGGGCGCAGTTTAGTATCCTGAACAGGAATGCCTAAGTACAGAGGTAGGCCTGTTCTACTGACACCTGTATTGATTCTATACCCTATCTATATATTAATATTGCCCTTTCATAATATTCTATTCTCTATATATCTCTGGAATACTCAACAAATGAGGGGTACGCATAGATAAGGCTATCGCCGGCATCGGCAGCTTATCGATAAAGGATCGCTATCGATAGCAAGATTGATAGAGATCAAGACTGAGATAGCAAGATAGATAGAGATTAACTACTAGGGACGGAGTAGTTAACTAGTAGTTAACTGAATAATAAGTAATAGTAGTAACTGGTTATTCTATTGATCCCCCCGTCCCTGGAAGTGGACTTCGAGGACCGCCGCCACGCCGCTCTTCACGCTCTGGATGGCTTCCGGAAGAAGCTGGGCGAGTTCGCCGACCGTCGAGGCATGTCCTGCCCACAGTCTGCCTCCCGCTGCGGCTTTGGCGATGCCCGCGTAGTCCGGCGTGGGATCAAAGGCAACGTTGAGCTCGTCTCGGGTGGCGCGAGAGCCCTCGCCGTCCGGGTGGACGAGCAGCATGCTCTTCTGCGGGGCGTGCCACCCCTTGTTGTTCAGCACGATGGTGAGGATGGGGATCTTGTATCGCCCCGCGATCCAGTAGACCGACCCGGGCACCGAGAAGAGGTACGTCCCGTCGCCCACGATCTGGCACACAAATTTGCCCTGGTTGGATCCCCCGTGCTCCGCGTCGCTCGCCAGCTTGATCCCCAAGGCGCCGCCGCCGGACCAGCCCAGCCCGCCGCCGCCGCAGTTGATCCAGGAGTTCGGCAGGGTCGCCGCAATCTGGTCCCCCACGATGGTGGTGAGAGTCACCGCTTCGATCGCCCAGATGGTGTCTACGGGAGCCTGCCGGCGGAGCTGAGAGATGAGATACGCGCCGTTGAAGGACGCGGCGTCCCCGCCAGCCGGAGCGACGGCCATCTGGGCGATTTCCTGCTTCCGCTGCTTGAAGTCTTCTTCCCGTTTCTTGCGGTGGGCGGCGGCCTCTTCGGAGCTGACAATCTGCTGCAGAGACGCCGTCGCAGCGATGTGCTCGTGGATCTGTCGGAACGCGGTCGGCGTGTGGGCCCGGAAGGTGGCCATGGACGGGATATAGAAGACGGGGATCTGCTGTTTGAGCGGGTCGATGTCGATGTGGACGACCTTGGCCGTCTCCGAGGGCTTGAACATGGTCGGCACCCAGGGGACATCGCAGTCGGCCACCAGGATGAAGTCTGCCGTCCGAATGGCCTCGTGGAGGCCAAACCGCAGACCCAGCCATGCCGGGTGGTCGCCAGGGAAGCACATATCACAGCCACCGGTGTCCAGCACACGTAGGTTGGGTACGGCATCAGCCAGGGCGACCAGTTCTTTCACACCCTGCGCCTGTCGGCCGGTATAGCCCACAATCGCCAGGGGCTCCTTGGCTTTGGCAAGTTCCGACGCGATCAGCTCGACCGCATCGGTCGGCAGCGCACCAGACACGACCGGTTTCCACACATTCTGGTCTAACTTGTAGGGCTTGATCTCCTCCTCCATCACCTCGCGAGCGCAGTATAGATACACCGGGCCCTGGGGATCGCTGGTAGCGAACTGCAACGCGCGGTTGACCAGCTGCTTCACGTTCTTCCCGGTCTTGATCTCCCCCGTGTATCGGCAGTACTGCGCAACGATCTGCTTCTGGTCTGGCACATCCTGAATCCAGTGGATGTACTCGGTACGAGAGCCGAGAACCTCGCCCTCGGCTGTGTATGGAGATAGGCCGGCAAAGATCAGAACCGGAGCCCGCCCGCACGACGCGTTGTGCACTGCGGCACCCAGGCCCTGCGTGCCAACATCGACGTGGACAATCACGCACTGGGGCTTGCCAGTCAAGCGAGCGTACCCATCGGCCATCGAGAGTGCAACCATCTACAGACCCTCGATCAGCAAAAATCCTTCATTCTGTCGCTCACCCTGACGATGGCCAAGCTGCAGGCCAAGAATTTACCTCATTAGGACAGGTGATGATACGGGGGAACTCATTCGGCCTCTCCTTCTGGCCTTTGACCATTGCCTCGATGATTGCAGGGTGATCCGTTCCCAGATTGACGAACACATGAGTAATTCCTGCCTGGATCCCGGGGTCAGCGATCCTGTAGCCTCTCTTTTTCTCCCTCTCTCCCGTCGGCATACCTCCCATAACGCCTCGAAAAAGGCAAAGGCTGCTGTGTAGGGCCTGAACCATCAGTCAGCATCTCTCTCTATATCTCTCGCCTTTGTTAGGCTGTCTAGGGACGCTACATTTTGGGAGAAGTAACCCTAGGGGAGGCAACGAGTGGTAAGCCGGAGAGCGATATCTGAGAGCGCGCGGATTCCAGACACACTGGCGGGACAGAGGGGTGTAAAGAATATTATATCAAGACGATGCACAGGACCTGAGTGTTGCCAATCCCTGGCAACAGGGGATACTTTATAATCGCCCAGCAATCCGCGCGTCTTCTCTCGTCCGAGAGGCCATGAGGGCCTTCAACTTCCGGTGGAATTATCGGCTTTCCTCCGGTTGTTCGGATTCCAGCATTGACCGTGGGACTGCCACCCCCTCAAGGATCCATGATTGGCTTGTAATGAAAGCACACGAGACTCTATTGGCGTTCTGTCTTTCGCTCGCACCCGAGGTTCTAAAACAATCGAGGGAACGCTGAGGGGGGTCTAGGAAGCCTTGGGCATCCCATGCAACCCCGCAGCGGGGTTGTTGTAGCCGGTGGGTGGGCTGTTTATCAGCATCGTGAGGAGATGTGGATTGATTTAAATAAGAGAAGAGGAAATTCTATCCTGGTGGGCGTTCAATAATCCTGGGGGCTGTTGGGCTCTGCCAAATCTCTTGTTGTGGTCGAGTGGAAGGCGTAGAGCTGGTGGTGAATTGTTCTGGCCTGAGGTGTCAACTGTCAACTCGACCATTCCCCAATGGGTCAGGGGAGGGAGAGAGGGGGAAAAGTTTCCAGTTTCCCATCCCACAGACGCGTGGAAACACACAGACAGAGACGGTGTTATCACTCCCCGCTACAAGATTGAGAGCTGTCAGCCTTATCTGCACGAGGTTATAGGGCCCTCATTGGCTTTTACGGGCCTGCAGGGTGCTTGCTTGCAGCGATGGTGTTGCCCTCCAGCCCATAACACAGCGCTTCCGACGCTGAGGGTTGACGACTGTCGTCATGGGAGTGCCCTCCCAGACAGCTAGAATTCCTGAATATACCTAGTCATTCGGTCCGATCGATGTGCCATTACTCGTCACCAGCAAGTGCAGTCCTCGATTTGTCGGTTGGGGCTAAGAAGATTCGCTACGTCATCACAAGCCAGCCGGCGTATCCAAGTGTCCACACCCGATGGCCCCTCCCAGCTGCGCTGCCTAAAAAGACTTATTTAACGCTATCGCCAAGCTCTGGCTTGACATCTTTCGTTTTCTTGGCCTCTACATGATTGAGACGCCAAGTTTCTTGGACAAAAGATTTTCGGAGAACCGAACCAAATTAGTGGTCAGTGATTGAACAAGATGGTCCCATGGAAGGTTTACAGCCAGTGCCGCAGCGACAAAACGGTCAGCTCGGAAATGGCGCAGGATCCGACCCAGAATCCGGAGAAGGTGTTCCATCGTCTGTTCGAGGGGCACCATTTGGGGTCAAATAAGGAGGACGAGGACTGGAAGGGCAAGGATGACTTGCAAAAGGCTGCAGAATGCGGACAGTGGGGGGCTGCCGAACCCAGTAGGCTGTTTCTCGAGGTATGAGGGTGCTCTGGCGTCAGATCATAGACTCAGATGAGTTATTGATTTCATATAGATCTACCGCGATGCCCTTTCTACACTGGAGAAGCATCCAATGGCGGGAGTTGTCTCGCCGCCGTTGATGGGGAGTCGCGGAGTGGTTCCCTTGACGATCGTGGCCCCGCTGCCCGATCTTTGTCGTCACCTTGCGAATTGCTTCGCACGGGCGGAAAAGGAGGTGTTCTTGGCCACCAATTTCTGGATCCACTCCGATGCATCCACGTTGGTCACCAATTCTTTTAGGGAATTATCGAAACGCGCGGGAGAGCGGGGCGAAAAGGTGGTCGTGAAGGTGCTATATGATCGTGGAGATCCTCGCCAGGTGAGTGTTGACTCCATTGCCTTCGGATGATAGGACCAAGCTGATACCGGGTTCCCATTCTTCCAGGTGCTGGAAAATCACCTCGAAGTCGACGTGAAGACTTATGTGAGCGAGAAAGTACAGCTGCCAGCTCCAGAGGAGATACCCAACATCGACCTCCAAGTTGTCAACTATCATCGCCCTGTTTTTGGCACATTCCATACCAAATTTGTCGTCGTGGATCGCCGTGTGGCCTTGTTGCAAAGCAGCAACATTCAAGACAATGACAATCTTGAGATGCTCATCCACGTGGAAGGCCCCATCGTGGACTCTTTCTACGACACTGCTCTCATCTCCTGGGGTAAGCCTCTGGAGCCGCCGCTGCCAATGCTCAACTCCCCTGCCTCGGCAGCTCCAATGCCTACTACCATGGAGGATGTCGAGGATGTGACCGAAACGCCATCGCAGATGCTTCCGGAGCATACTACCACGGATCCTCACTACGACCCAAGTATCCAGCTTGAGGCGCTAAGAATGAATGATGTGGTCAAACCACGCGATGGGGAATCAAGAACCCACGCTGTCACTCGCCATTTGAGTATGTGTTATAAGGATGTTCTGGCCATGTGCTCCCAGACTGACAAGAGACTACCAGACACTACCATCCAGCCTTCGACTACCGGCGATGCACCCGATGAGGACCAGGTGAACCAAATGAAGCCATATGTTCTGCTTCCGCCACATGAACCTTTCCCGATGGCGTTGGTCAACAGAGCACCGTACGGAGGTACGCAACTCCTGACTAGCACAACATGTTGACAAGAATTGACTTTTTACCATAGCCCCGAATCATTCCAACGTTCACACTCCGCAAAACGCAGCGTTCCTTGCGGCCATTAACAACGCCGAGCATTCCATATTCATCCAGACGCCTAACATGAACGCTGAGCCACTGCTGGAGCCGCTCCTTGGGGCGGTGCGCCGCGGTGTGACCGTCACATGCTACCTCTGTTTGGGTTACAATGACGCCGGCGAGCTTCTCCCCTTCCAGAACGGGACGAACGAGATGATCTCCCATCGACTGTACACGTCTCTTGAAACGGATGAAGAGCGGGCTCGCCTGCGGATCCACAACTACGTCGGCAAAGATCAGACACACCCGATCCATAACCATTTCAAACGTCGGAGCTGCCACATCAAGCTGATGATCATCGATGAGAAGGTAGCGATTCAGGGTGCGTATTTGCCACATTGCTCCGTATATCTTGTTTACTTTCTAACGTCAGAGTACAGGAAATGGCAACCTCGACACACAGTCCTACTTCCACAGCCAGGAAGCCAATCTGCTCATCGATTCGCCCACTGTCTGCCGCGCCTGGTTGGAAGCCGTCAACCGGAACCAAAACACCGCCAAGTACGGCCTTGTCAGCCCCAAGGACGGGTGCTGGCATGACCCTGTGACCGGCGAGCTCCCTGAGGGCTCCATCGGCATTGACCCAGGCAGGTTCAGCTGGGCGAAGGGGGCTATCGGTGCGGTGCAGCGGGTGCGAGGAGTGGGTGGTTTTTAATGTACTGGTTTCCTATTGATCTCCTTGTATAGTGTCTATATTCCATACGTATACGGTATATATGAATGAATATAAATATGTGTTCTTTTGAATACGTTTGTACAACTTGTTGTGCCACCAAGTGATAGTCGACGTAACACCGGTGACTACTGGTCCCGAGAATATTTAAGCCCATTACTAGTTACAGGCTCCCTACTCCGAGCATTTCAATATCAATTCCTATGATGGAATACGACCCCCCCATCCGCGAGATAACCCAGTACGTCTTCCACCACGAAATCCCCCCCTCCGACACAGCATGGCCCGCAGCACGCACCGCCCTCCTCGACGCACTCGGCTGCGCCATTGAAACCGCCCACTCCAGCGCCGAGGGGGTTGCACTCCTCGGCCCCGTCGTGGAGGGCAGCAGCACGCCGCACGGGTTCCGCGTACCTGGGACGCGGATTGTGCTGGACCCTGTGCGGGGGGCGTTCAACCTGGGCGTCCTGATTCGGTATCTAGACCACAACGATGCGTTGGGGGGGATGGAATGGGGGCATCCTTCAGGTAATTTCTATCCCAAAGCAGTCAAGACCATCTCCTACTAAACGAATTTAGACAATCTAGGCGCTATTCTAGCTGTGATGGACTGGCTAGACAGATCCACTCACGCCAGAACAATATCGCACACCGGTCCCCCGCTGACGATGCACACCCTCCTCCTGGCGCTGATCAAAGCATACGAGATCCAAGGCTGCTACCAGCTGAAGAATGCGTTCAACGCGTTCGGCCTCGACCACGTCGTACTGGTGAAGCTTGCTTCTGCGGCGGTGGTGGCCTGGCTGCTCGGGTTGAGCGAAGAGCAAACCAACGCGACGATCTCACATGTGTGGATGGACGGCCAGCCGACGCGCGTCTACCGGTCTGCAGGGAATACGATTCCCCGGAAGGGCTGGGCAGCGGGGGACGCATGTATGCGTGCTGTGCATCTTGCTCTCCTGGTTCGTAAAGGGCAGCCGGGGGCCCCCGGGGCGCTGAGCTCGGTGCCCTTTGGTTTCTACGCGCGCACGTTCGGAGCGACGCGTGGGTTCGAGTTTGCCCGGCCCTTTGGGACATGGACGATCCGCAATGTGCTTTTCAAAGTCATGCCGGTCGAGGGACACGCCATCGCTGCGGTCGAGGCGGCGTTGGTGCAGCGGCGGAAATTGGATCACCTGGGATGCACGCCGGCGCAGATTGCCAGGATCGAGATCCGGACCACCGCGGCGGCGGACTTGATCATCAACAAGCGTGGGAGACTGCGGAATGCTGCTGACCGGGACCATTGTCTGCAGTATGTGGTCGCGCTGGCTCTGCTGAAGGGGGCGGTGCCTGAGGTCCGCGACTATGCTGACGGCAGCCCGTGGGTGACGAGTGCGGAGCTCGATGCATTACGTGGGAAAATGGTGGTTCGCGTGGACGAACACCTCACGAGGGATTATCTTGATCTGGGCAAGAAGAGCATCGGCTCTGCGGTTACAGTTCGTCTGCAGGACGGTTCCATCCTGGAGGAAGTCCTGGTACAATATCCCGTTGGCCATGTCAAGAACCCAGCAACAGCCGGCATGGTAGATGAGAAGTTCAAGAAGAACATGCGGCTCATGTTCTCAGAGGCAGAGATTGCTCACGTAGTCCGAGCAACCAAAGATGATACTTTCAAGATTATGGATTTCGTCGACTTGCTTGTCCGACCAGCCTCGGCTAGTCCGAGGCTTTAAGTGGTGTGTATAGCTAGTAGCTACCTGTCATTATATAGAAAAAGAAATATCCAAGAGACCGCCTTTCAACATAATCCGGTGCACTATTCAATCTTCCCCACCCCCTGCAGAGTCAAGTAGACATCGGTCCCCCATCCCCAAAGACTTTGAACGGCAATGCTTCCGCCAAAATATTCCGCATATGCTCTGCTGAGCGGCAAGCCATATCCCAGCCCGGCTATGCTGCTTAACTGGCCGCCACTGGCCGAAATGGTGTTCAGAGCATCCATGGTACCGTTCTCCGAGGATTGTGCGTCATTGTCGGAGAAGGTGGTGAAGCTGTACGACCAGATATGCGGCAAGACGGCGGGAGGGATTCCGCCACCACGATCCCTGATCCGGATCGTGATGCTCTGTGAAGACGGGGTCGAGTACCGGATAGATTCGTTCGCGTCTGCCGTACCACGGACGGTATCGTCGATCTGAAAATTGACGTCTGTGTCGGGATCAAGCCCAGAAGTCTGGCTGTGGAGCACGTCCCACACCTGGTGCGCAGGGACGTCTGGTGCCGCAGCAATGGTGACCTCGATCGGTTCGCGTTCTTTGCCAGCCTCCACAGACGCCCGGAAAGCATTCTTCAACAGCTCTGTGATGATGTATTCGACATGCACAGGAACATGGGCGAACGACGCATCTGGCTCTCCACCAATGACGACGCGGGGTCGGACGCCGTACTTGAGTTCGCAGATCTCCCCGACAAAGTCCTCGCAAAGTTTAATGATCCGAGCAGGCTGGAGGGCCGTATCGATGACTCCGATATAGTTGGATGGGGCAACGACCTTGGGGGAAGACGCTTGACCGCTGCCGCCGCCAACCGGCTGCGAAGCAAAATGGAGAGCTAGGTGTTGTTCGGCAATTAAGCGGGTTCCAATCCGCGCACGAAGATGGGTATCGAGGAATCGGGTAACGTCTGCAGGGCTGACATATTTCCTGCACTCCAGGAATCCCCGGGCGAGGATCGGGATGGTGTTGGTATGTGTATGCACTAGGTCTGCCAGCACATCTGCAAACTGGTTCTCCTCTTCCAGCGTGGTGATCTGCCGCTTCTGATACGGGAGCAACGTCGAGAGCGAGTGCAGGTAGTTGTTATAAATCTTGGAGACGTGAGGATTCGACACGACGATAAACGGTAGATTTCGCAGAGCCTGGATCCGAGACGCCAGACGAGCAGGCAAAAGCGATAGGGTGAAATTAGCTGAGGCCAAGAGGGCCTCCTTCGATAACGGCGGTCGGCCATGTCTGCTCGGTGTGTCGTTAGTCGTGAGTCATTTCTGTCATCCATCTCAATAGCAATAGTAGCCACTCACTTGAGCAAGTCAGCAAGCGTCAACGGCCGCCGCCGGCTCGCAGCTAGTCGTGCAACATCATCGTTCGCAACGTCGGTCGAAGCTGAACGCTGTGCCAACTTGGGTCTGGGCAGCGGTGACGTCGTGGAGAGACGCGTGCGAGGGCAGGCTTTGCTAAGCGCCACCGGAGTAGCCGACAGCCTACATCCGTGGGGAAAATTCCAGACAGGTCTTGGAAAGCCCATCGTTCAGCCCAGCCATACTGCACAAGGCAAAATCATCTCCAATCCGAGGAAGCAGGGGGGGTTTCGGATAGTCAAGGGCGAAAGACCTGGGAGTCGAAGCCGGGCGGCAGAATTTATCGGGCGGTGAGTATTAGCATTATTAACAAAACAATAGGATCCTATTGACAGCATTACGCTGGGGGATTAGAGTAGTGTATAGAGTAAGAGAAGCCTATAGGGTAGTGGACTGAAATACGGGAAGTTGCGATAGTCAATATCACATATGATATCATGTACTCTAGTAGTAGTATTTATGATGCTATACAGTAGTATATATTCGATTCTTCGTGAATAGACAGACACAAGAAAAGACGCGGAGTACAATATCTACAACACGTGGAGGGACAGTTGGTATGCGGCAGTTCTCGAATCATAGTACAGAATTGCATAGAAAGTGCATCACTCATACATCTGCTGAGGTCCTTGACAAAACGAACAAGGAAAGAGATCTCAAGATGGATTCATCATTCGTTGCATATTATGGGTGCTGAGCGTGTCTTGTATTGCCAACCGATAGCATGCGTCTATTGAGTCTTCATAACGCCGTCCTGCTCCACGTGGATATGATCGTTTGATTCCAGGGAACGCACCGCGTTATCCGGGTACTCGACACTGGTAGCAAGAAGAACGATCGGTCAGTAAGGAGTCAAGGGACGACAGAGAGACTCGGAGAGGGAAAGAGAGAGGGCGACGGCACTCACGTGAACCCCTTGATGAGGCTGTACTCATGCTTGATGATTCCTCCGGCAGCCTTCGCATCATCCTTGGCCCTGTGGAGTAGGAGGAAGTGGTTAGCCAAGGGATAGCCAAGGGATATCCGCGAGCTATCATCGGAGAATGGGTTGTGCATAGGCACTGCCTACTTTTCAAGCTGCTCGGCCGGGGCACCGTCCTTGAGAGTGATCTAGACAGGGTCAGTACAACGGATCCAGAAAACAACAGTGACTAAGGCAGACCATACGTTATAGAGAGGCATTTTTCCTTAATGCTTAGAAAAAAAAATAGACAATAGAGGTCGTATGGAACGAGACAGAGGTCGGTCTGCGGTGAGGGAGTATCGTTGTTGTGGCTGGGAAGAAGCACGGTGAGGCGGGGGAGGGGCACGGCGAGGGTTTTATACCAGGCGGCCGTGACTCAATCGCAGCAAACCGATAACAGGGCGAACGAAGCGATGGTGAATCGAGTGGCTGACGGCTTCGAGGCTTGGCGCTCCCACGGGGGGAAAGGGAAACCTTGGAAGATCCATTACGCCATCTGTTCTGCACGATGATTCTCGATCACCATCGCCTGACCAGGCAGAACCGTTCCGTACACATCCATAATCCTCGGGTATAGGCTACAGATATACGCCATTCTCATTGTTTTTTCTGTTCTAGAGGCCAATAAGGACACCTCCCTGCGGCCTATCTATCCCAGGTACAACAGACCACCAGGAACAACCGTCACACAAGACGTCGTCTGATCGCGGCCCTCCCTCTACGTCAGACGAAGCGGGGGATTTGCATCATGACTGATGGTCACGTGGCGATAGGGATACCCTGTAGGCTGTAAGGCTGTAACGATACCGTACGGAGCAGTCGACGTAGATGTGCTCTATGCGTACCTAGGTACTTTAGGTAGGTACCTAGTCTACTAACTGTGGACTGTGGATTGTATCTCAGGTATAGGCATCCACTTGCTATGTGCTGGTGTCTGCTAGGTATAATTCGCTAAAGTCCTTGCTGAATGATGAAACCGGACGCCAAATAATCAAATGAAACCAATGGTTCGCCCATTATAATATACAGCAGGTCAGATTTGCGAACAAGTCATTGCCTAGGTCTCCGCTATACACCAACGTACCCGGCCTCGTCCTCCTTGTCTTCGCGAGCGGGCATCTTCAACCCGTGCATCCCGGTATACTTGGGAGACTCGGGCTGTGTCCACCCCTCCAGCACTCCCGGATCTGCCAGTTTATAAACCTCCACACCGAGGGGGCGGGTGGTTGATCCCATGTCACCTTCTTTGTCATCCCAGCCCCAGTTTGAAAGATCGCCTGCGGGAATTATGTGTCAGCCATGGTTGATCCCTTCTGTTGATAGATAAGATCCCTTACCACCGGGACAAGCAGACAAGGCGCAGAGTACATCGACTTCAGCAAAGAATTCAAAATACTCTCCTGGCTTCGCTGGCGACGTCTCCATGAAATACTTGCCCTCCTCGGTCAGCCCCGTCACCTGGAAGACGTTCAGCACATCGTGCACATCCAGCTCCGTCAGACCAAACGGAGCAACAGCGCGGGTAAGGTTCGAGTGGCAGTGGAAATCAAAAGTATCTCCGCCCATCAAGATATTCACGTATGGGTCACATCTGGTACCCAGCAGATCGTGCACCCGTCCTCCCCATTGCGAAGTTGGAAACCCGTCCTCTTTGCGCTCTCCGTCAGGCCCCAGGACCTCATGCAGTTGCCCACCCCCCAGCGAGTCGCCGGTGATGGTGACAAGCGGTCGAAGGTATGGCAGGTTGGACCACAGACGGTCCCCGACGGAAACGTGCGAAGCGTGGATCTGGCGCGTGCGAGACGCCCACAGTCGCTCACGGGGGTTGTTCGCGTTCCAGATGTTCAGATCGCCCACCTGGGGTCCCTTGGGAGTCGTGAGGCGACAGACATGGCCCGCCGGGACCACCCACGCCTGAGCAGAGCACGGTCGGATAACAAACGACGATTGAAGCGTTCGCGCAGTGGGATCAGAAGCAGTCGCAGAGATAGACCGGTAGACGGGGGACGTAGTAACGAAGACGTTCGAGCCAGGCAGTGGCGTGTACGCTGGAGGAGGGCGTCGGCCAACAGACATTGCTACCCTTCCTGCTTGTTTGGGCGCTTCACCCATATCGACACGGTAGAAAGACGTTGCGAGTAGTCGTGCTGGTAGTAGAAGAACAGAACCCAAGGCTCTGGCTGGTCCTTTATCGCCCCAGGAGCAAATCCCTTATCTGTCTCATCTTGACCGTGGCAAACCCCGCTCCAGCCTTGCTTTTGTCCACTCTCTGTAAGTCTCCTCCGATGCCGCTGGCCCGCTGCGAATGACAATCTTCGAGATAACAGATAACCAGAGGGCCGCCGGGCCGACGAATGAGGGTTGAGCCCTTATCGCGACTCCGACCGGCCCGATCTTGAATGGCTGCCTTAGGCAATGATAGTCTGTCAGGTGATCTTTTTGTCTAATCTGTATTGGGACTAGCGCATCTGCGGATACACTAGTCTGCGCTAAACCAGATCAGGACTCGAGCTGCCGGCGTATGGAAAATTCCGCTCCGGGATGCGGCAGAAAATAATAATTTTAGTCGGGGAGACCAGAAGCTGCTGAGGCTTCTTCGAGCGGACAGGCGGACTATTGTTGCTGGTAGGAAGGGAGTCTCTGACGAGGTTTCCTCAGTTTCCTCACCCCTGCTGCCAAAAATGGACACGCAGTCGAACAGGGCGCATCGCCCCACGAAAGAGAAGAAGAAATTTGAAGGTAAAGCCGCCGTTGCGGACTGATAGCTCTGCTTCGCTTGCCAGAGATGTTTTCGCTAATACAGGGAAATTATCACCATAGGTTCAAATCCCAAAGCCTTCGCCTTCTCGAACCCTGGGAAAGGGAATAGGCAGGCAGCGCGTTCCCACGATGTAGGATCAAACTTGAAGTCTTGAGGGAAAGAAAAAGAAACGGTTGGAGCTGATAAGATGTGATTGTTTAGGTCAAAGAGAAAAGATTCCATGTGCCCCAAGTCGATCGCATCCCTGAGGAGGCTCCTCCGATTGTGGTGTCTGTGGTTGGACCTCCAGGAGTACGTTTGCTCGGCCCCAGTGTGGTGAAATGTGTGGCGGTTCAAGGATGCTAACACTCATGGAATTGGTAACTAGGTTGGAAAGACCACCTTGATCAAATCGTTGATCCGCCGGTATACAAAGCAGACTCTCAGCTCACCTCAGGGGCCTTTGACCGTGGTCACCTCGAAGCGGCGGCGCCTCACGTTCTTCGAATGCCCGTCTGATTCTCTGGCGAGTATGATCGACACGGCCAAAGTTGCGGACATTGTCCTCCTCATGATCGATGGGAACTACGGGTTCGAGATGGAGACTATGGAGTTTCTCAACGCCCTGGCCGCAAGTGGTATGCCGGGTAACGTTTTCGGCATTCTGACCCATCTGGATCTCTTCAAGAAGCAGAGCACGTTGCAGGCCGCTAAAAAGCGGTTAAAGCATCGGTTCTGGAGCGAGCTCTACCAAGGTGCCAAGCTTTTCTATCTCTCAGGCGTTATGAACGGCCGCTATCCCGATCGCGAAATCCACAACCTGTCTCGATTCCTGTCCGTGATGAAAAACCCTCGACCCTTGGTCTGGCGTAATTCCCACCCCTATGCGCTGGCTGATCGGTTTTTGGACGTCACTCCGCCCACAGAAATTGAGGAGAACCCCAAATGCGACCGCACCGTCGCTTTGTATGGTTATCTCCGCGGCACGAACTTCCCGGCACAAGGGGCACGAGTACATGTTCCCGGTGTAGGTGACCTTACGGTCTCTGAAATCGAGTCTCTCCCTGATCCTTGCCCAACACCATTCATGGATAAGGAGATGGCCAAAGCAGCAGGCAAGTCTGGAAGGCGGAAGCTGGGCGAAAAGCAAAAGCTGCTTTTCGCACCTATGTCTGATGTTGGCGGTGTTTTGGTTGATAAAGATGCCGTCTACATTGACGTGAAGACTTCTACATTCAACAGAGATGACGAAGAGTCCGAAGATGAAGACCGTGGCTTGGGTGAACAGCTGGTTGTTGGGCTACAGAATGAACGAAAACTGCTGGGAGAGGCGGATGCCGGCATCCGGCTGTTTCGCAGCGGTGAGACCATCAACAAAACCGATGTAGATCACAATGGCGCAGAAGGAAGAAAACAGAGGAGAAATATCCGAGTCGTTGACGGCGAAAAAGGCACACAAGATTTGTCCGACGATGAAGGGTTCGAGAGCGTGGATGAAGAAGAAGAAGAAGAGCAGGACTTTGAAGATGGTGATGAGGATGACGAAGACTTCAGCGGTGATGAAGCTGATGCCGGGATTTCTGCTCCCGCTGATTTCGAGACGAGCTTCAAGGAGAGACAGAACGGCGACATTCGTCGAGAAGATGGGGATCTTGCTTTCGCCGACAGTGACTCTGACCTCGGCTCAATCTCGTCTGTCGAGGAGCAGGAATTAGAGAGCGGACCAGAAAGCGATGACATGGATGAAGAGGACGATGAAGATGACGACGGCGCCGCTCGTTGGAAGAACAACATGCTCACTACTGCCAAAGCTCTTCGTGGGAAGCGACCCGCCTTTCGCGTTACTGATTTATCCCGCATGATGTACGATGACACGATCTCGCCATTCGATGTTATTCGTAGATGGAGCGGCCAGGATCAGGACGATGAGAACGACGAGGAGAACGAGGATGATGAGGATGATGATGATGCCTTCCTGAAGAAGACCAATGCCGAGCAGGAAGATCAATCTGACTACCGTGCCATCCCAGAGTACGACTACGAGGAGCTTGAGAGAAAGTGGCGTGACGAGGAAATGATCGAATCGTTAAGGAAACGCTTCGTCACTGCCAGGCTGTCAGGAAATGATGGTGATGGAGAAGATGAGGACGATGATGATGCTTTCGATGAGGATGAAGGTGAAGGCGATGGTGATTTCGAGGACTTGGAAACGGGAGAGGTTTTCAACGGCATTAAAGATGATGAGGAGGAGGAGGACAACGACGACGACGAAAATGATGCAGAGGAAGAAAAGGCTGAAGAGGGCCCTGCTGATCTCGAAGCCGAGCGTGAACGCAACGCGAAGCGCAAGGAGGAACTCAGGCTACGCTTTGAGGAAGAGGACCGGGAGGGCTTTGGCAATGCCAAGGATAACTCTCGAAACCCCGGGGAACCAGGCGACGAACAATTTGCCGAGGATCAATGGTACGACATGCAAAAGGCGAAGATGCAGAAGCAATTGGACATCAACCGCGCCGAATTCGACACCTTAGATCCCGTCTCGCGGGCTAGAGCTGAAGGGTTCCGAGCCGGGACCTACGCTCGCATTGTTCTGGAGAAGGTTCCCTGCGAGTTCGCGATCAAGTTCACCCCGCGCTTTCCGGTCATCGTTGGTGGCCTGGCTCCGACAGAAGATCGTTTTGGATATGTGCAGGTTCGCATCAAGCGTCACCGCTGGCATAAGAAGATCCTCAAGACCAACGACCCGTTGATCTTCTCTCTGGGTTGGCGGCGTTTCCAGACCTTGCCGATCTACAGCACGTCGGACAACCGGACCCGTAACCGGATGCTCAAGTACACGCCCGAACATATGCACTGTTTCGGTACCTTCTACGGACCCCTTGTGGCGCCCAACACCGGTTTCTGCTGTGTCCAGTCCTTCTCGAACAAGACCCCCGGCTTCCGTATCGCCGCTACAGGCGTGGTTCTCAGCGTGGACGAGCACACTGAGATTGTGAAGAAGCTCAAACTGACTGGCCATGCGTACAAGATCTTCAAGAACACTGCGTTCATCAAGGATATGTTCAACTCGTCCCTCGAGGTCGCCAAGTTTGAGGGTGCTTCCATCCGCACCGTATCCGGTATTCGTGGTCAGATCAAGCGAGCACTGGCCAAGCCCGAGGGTTGTTTCCGTGCTACCTTCGAGGACAAGATCCTGATGAGCGACATTGTCTTCCTGCGGGCCTGGTATCCGATCAACCCCCACCGCTTCTACAATCCCGTCACCAACCTTCTCGATATCGAAAAGGAGTCTGGTGATGACAAGGGATGGCACGCGATGCGCCTGACTGGCGAAGTCCGTCGCGATCAGGGCATCCCGACGCCGCAAAACAAGGATTCCGCCTACCGGCCCATCGAGCGTCAAACACGCCATTTCAACCCTCTCCGGGTGCCCAAACAGCTGGCGGCCGATCTCCCTTTCAAGTCGCAGATCACCAAGATGCGCAAGCGGCAGGACCAGACGTACCTCCAGAAGCGGGCCGTGGTCCTGGGCGGCGAGGAGAAGAAGGCCCGCGACCTGATGCAGAAGCTCAACACGCTGCGCAACGAGAAACAGGCGAAGCGGGCCGTCAAGCAGGAGGAGCGCCGACAGGTCTACCGTGCCAAGGTCGCCGATGGACTGGAGAAGAAGGCGGCGCGCGAGAAGAGGGAGAAGAACGAGTTCTGGCAGCGCGAGGGCAAAAAGCGCAAGAATGAGGACGGCGAGGGTGGCGGGCGGTTCAAAAAAAAGAAGTAGGGATCTTGCTGCATTGGTACGGCGTTCAAAACAAAAAGTGATTGTCTATAAGATAGTCTTCATTCCATACGGAGTATATACCAGTCATTGTCGAGTAACTTCTCTCTCAGTATTTTTGCCTAATGTTTTCTGCCTGACAGCTCAGGCCGCAAATCACACACGTGACCGCGCGGCGGACGTCGGGACGCGTCCGCCAGCAGACGGAAAGTCGTCGTCGCGGTGAATTCTGGTTTTGCAATCACCACCGCCCAGAAACAAGACCAGGCTGCGGCTGCACGATCTCCAGCTGCCAGCAGGAGAGACTGTCTGAAGCTCCAACCATCCTCCGCCGAGTGCTCCTGGGCAAGTCCCGTTGAACGCTTGCCTGGTGGGGAGAAGAGGTCTTGAACCGATTGCGTCGGCAGTGGCACCCCCGCGTGCTCGTGTTAACTAGTGGAGCTCTGCTCCCTTGCAGTGTTATCCAGAACACCTACGAGTTTATATATTACATATCGTGCATACACTGCATAGTGGACTATTGTTGTGTCTTTCTGCATCTTTGACGTCTTGGTTTTGACCGCGGGATAATCCCGTGTCGAGCCATCGTGACCAGAGCCCTGTGTTTGTTTGCATGCCAACCGCTGGCCGGTGGCGTCTATTGCTATATCTCTTTTTTTATATTGCCTGTTGGAAGATTGGACCTCCAGCAATGAATCCTAGGAATGAACAGTCGAATGGCGGAGAAGAACGGCCTGCTGCGCTGGGAGATCTCCCGTTCCCAAGCAAGGGCCGCTCCCCTCTTTCGCAGGCTTCCGGGTTGGTGGGATCGGACGATCGCTTTCTAGATGTACAAAAGGACTCGTCGCAGCAAATGCATTCGATTGATGAACATGGTGGCGCTGATCCGGGAAACACTCTGACGACCGCGAGCACATCATCAATACTCAAATCCGAACCAACAAGCAATGGTGCAGGCAGTTCATCCAGCTTGAGGGTCTCCGGGCATAAAAGGACTGCGACTGGCGAGATTAAGCCTCGCTCGGAGGTTGCAGGAATGCATGAGTCGGACGCGAACGGGGTTTCTGGAATATCAAAGGGAAACAGAATCATCGAGGTAACCGATATCATCCCTCACTCTCAGTGATCCCCCCGGCTTACTGACTCGATTTCAAGCTATCTATGCAACTCCGCGCGCGTCTGAAATACGCGGCTGCCCAAGTTGAGAAGAACCGACGGTCCTCTCGCGATCTAGACAGCGAACTTCCCAAACGATGGCCGCAGAGCGCTTCTCCTACCCTGTTGGCAGCTGCAATGGAAGGCCCCTCTCAGATACGATTGCTGGACAATCTTTCGCCGGAGGGCTCAATAGCCTCGGCGCCGGATTGCCCTGGGTTTCCCTCGCCCGGTCGGTCGTATATAGCTCCTCTGGAGCCACATCGATACGCTCGACCCCAAATATCTCCCAAGAAAGCCTTCCAAGGACCAAAACTTGCCCCTCCTCTTGATCTCACCATCACCAGTAACCAGGCGGGCCGACGACGGCGACCGAACCCAAATCAGAATGGACAGCCATTGAATTACGATCCTTACCCTCGTCACAAGCGTCACCATTCGGAACAGGAGTTTGGTCTGCCCCGATCGGCCACCAGCACCCCAAAAGTCCTGGTTCCAGGGACTCCTCCACTACGGTCAACTCCTCAGACTATGAGCAGTTTTGCTCAGCATAACAATTCGCATGCGTTCGCCAAGCCGCGCACGCATTCACAGAATGCTCTTATGGAACAGGACGCAATCGAAACGCTGCTATTCATGTCCAGCCCGGAGAACTCGGGGTATCATCCCAGCCCGCAGCACAAACCCATCGTACGGCCCATGAGCACCGACACGTCGCTCAGCACCCGAGCCAGTCCGCCGCGGCGTCATGCAAATGGATACCCCAACTCGCAGAGCACCGCGCCGTCGTCTCAACAGAGCTACGCCCATGCTCCACCACCGCCAGCAGCAGCAGCAGCAGCACCACCACCACCACCCTCCGCGTTCTCCAAAAGGGCGATCGGGCTCGAGGCGCATGCTGGGGATGAAATCGACCGCATGCTCGACCAAATGGACAGCGAGAGCGAGAGCGAAAGTGCCGTGTTTCCCTCTCACCAGTTGGATACTGGACGGGACCGCGCGGGAATTCGCGGGTCCGTAAGATACGCATCGAGATAGTATACAGTCCAAGACACATCAATGCATAGTTGAGTGCAGTCTTAACGTTATAAAATGCATACACCAGTTTCAAGCCGGTGAATTATTTTAGAATAGTAGCAATCTATCTGCAAGTGATATACTTGTACACAAGTCCCGTATTTAGCTCTCCATATTTGCTCGCTCTCTCTCTCTCTCTCTCTCCCTCTCTCTTTAACCCCAATTATCCTCGTCCTCGGCAACATCATAGTCGACCTCGTTGGCCGCGGCGCCGTCCTTTTTCATCGCGTCCGACTGCATCGAGTCCATCGCGGAATCCATCTCTTCATCTCCCGCGTTCTTCTCCGGGACCCCGGCTTGGGTTGTCGCCGGAAACGCGATGGGCGGGTTAGCCACCCAGGACAACTGCACTTCGCCCACAGAGGGAATAGCCCAGGGACTGAACATGAACTTCTCGGCGAGATAGCGTTCCTTGAAGGCGACGATCAGCGAGTCTGGCTGGTTAGGGTTCTGCTCGATGGATTCGTATTCGCCGATGCCCTGATCAGAGATATTAGAAACCGGCATGATCAAATAGTAAAACAAGATGGTAAAAAAAAAAAAAGGAAAAGTCTTACAATCAAGTACTGGCGCAAGGCTTCATCCTTGTCCGAATCAAACTGGACGCCCGACACGGCCACCCGTCGAGGCCGATTATCCAGCCGGAGCACACCGCCACGCCCACGAGGGGTGATGCCGCCACGCCCACGACCGCGATATGAAGAAGAAGAAGAAGAAGGGTCGTACCCGCCGCGACCGCGAGGGACAAAGGACCCTCGGGCGCGGTAGCTACCGGCGTACGCGCCTCTACTGCCCCGGCCGCGATAGGTCGAGCCAGCGCCGGGCTCGCCGCCGTTCTCCGGGTCGATGCCTAGGCTCTTGGCTTCGGCTTCCAGGGCGGCCAGCTGGGCGCGGAGCTGCTTCGTCTGCTCGCTTACATTCTCGTCCGCGGCGTCGCCGCCGGTCATCGGCTCACCATCATCGGGCGCGGTGTCCATATCTCCGGGGACGTCCGGGGTGGTGCCGTTGCTGCTGGCACCGAGGTTCTTCCCGGAGAGCCGCTGCATGAGCCGGGCCTTCTCCTCCTGCTGTTTCTTGAAGAGCTCCTCGCGCTGTCTCTCCAGGGCCAGCTTGGCGGCCTCGGTCTCCTTGCGTTTCTTGAGTTTCTCTTCGTGGGCCCGCTGGGCCTCATCCTGCTGCCGCTGGAACTGTTCCGGATCGAACGCTGGGTCCTCGGCAGCAGGCCCGCCGTCTGGCCTCTCGGACCGCCCGTGGCTCGGTTTGTGCCAGTATACCTTGACGAAGCGGTTGTCGAAGATCACCTTGGGGCTAGACCACGCGCGCTTCGCGGCGTCGTAGCTGTCGTACTTGACTAGGGCTAGCCGTCGGGGCGGCTGCAGCGTGATGTCGACAATGTCGCCGTACTGGGAGAAGAACTCGCGCACGCTCCCCTCGTCGAATTTGTCCTCGGGGATCTGCTCGACGACAATGGTCGTGATCGAGCGGTCCTCGTTCGGGCCCGCCGCCGAGTAATCAGAACGCCCGCCGCCCCGGCCGCGCGACGAGGCCGCAAACCCGCCGCGATCGCCTCCCCCTCGCCCGCGCCCGCGCCCGCCTCGGTATCCGCCGTCCTGATTCCGGCGTCCGTCCATCACGATACTCGAGGATTTTGGGTCGTACTCGTGGTCCCCCGTTTGTTCGTGGGTATACGGGCACGCTGCGCCCAGGTAGCAGATGCCCTGCGTCTCGTAGAATGGACAGCGCTGTGAGCTCTTCCCTGTCATCTGGTCGGGCAGTGGCGGGCCGCCAGCCGCGGGCGGCATGGGCAGGGGCGGCATCCCAGGCATCTGAGGGAACCCCATACTCTGAAGCGCCATCATCGCCGCCATCGGATCGTTCTGGTCGAACGGGGGGAACCCAGGGGGCATCACAGGGAATCCGCCCGCCGCCGCCGCCGCCGGACCAGGGAATTGACCCGCCGCACCGGGAGGCATTCCTGCTGCCGGGCGACCGTCTCGACCAGGCCAGTCTCCGCGGCCACCCCCGCGGCCGCGTCGAGGGGTCTTAAACGTCCGGTTGGTATAGCTTGTGTCATCGCGCTCCTGGTCCGCCTGGAATCCCTCCTGGAAGGTCCGCTTGCGGTTCATCCCCGCGCCATTCTCCGGTCCGCTGCGTGGTCCACCTGCCGGTCCTGAAGACGGGTTGAATCCCAGAGACTGCTGGGGCGCGTGCGAGAGGGATTGGCCCAGTTGCAGTTGCGGTTGCGGTGCCACGGGAGGAGCGGCCGTGGTCTTGGGGGCAAAGGTATCGAAAAGCTCGTCGACAAAGCTGGCGGTATCTAGACTATATTCAGAACCATTGCTTCCAATAATTTCCCCTTTCGCC